AGGCTGGATCAATCCAATTTAACTTGTTTATTGTCAGCAGTCATTTTGAAATCGGCTGGTTAACATTGATAGTTTGACAGACGACATGTTTCAATGTCAGCGTAGTTGGAATACAATATTGTACGCTTTATGACAAAGATTCGGCTATCGGGTTTCAAAAGTAAACGTGACCAACGAGTTACTATTCTCCTTGCACTATGTAGGAAACGTTTTTAAAAATAAAAAATATGTATATATGACTAGAAGAATAGAATCCTTCTAACATTCTTTTCTAAAAAATGTCCGTTTTAACATGTACCCTTACAAATATACTTTTAAATTAAAGTTAAATCTAAATTGTCAATGGTATTTATTACACGTGTTAATCAGAACTCTAGCACACAATATATTTGATGGTTACTTGGTACAATTTATAATTAGCGGTAGGCTGTTTATAATTGATAAAAAATAAATTATACAAGTTGTGACAAACTCAGACAAAGAAACATGTTAAAGAATAATTATTCCTAATACATGCGAGCTAATTACTTTAACCTGCTGAGAATATGTCCTAATTTATATACTATTTTGTCATGTCACTATTTAACCGAATTTTCTTAAAATTAATTTCGTGTATGTCCATTTTTAAAAAAAAAAAAGCTCAAAATAGCCATTGAATCTTATCAAATGGTTTATGAAAATTAAAGAAAAGCCGGCTAAAAATTAAAAAGCTAAATTAAATTTCCAACAAAAGGCCGGAAAAAAAACGGCTTAAAGGGTTCAAAAAAATTGACCTTCCATGTTTTTGATTAATTTAAACGACGAAAATTTTCTCTTTTTTTATTGGGAAAAGAGTTTCAAAAATTTTAAAATAGCCAAATATCAAAAACTTACTTAGGGATATTTTATCACGAAGCAGATGTTGTTACTGTTAATTTAACAGTTTACCTTACTAAATGTAAGCTATATGTTGAGAAAAGAATACTAAACATTGAATAATTCTCGTTTTTATTGTGTACAATGCATTCGTTTCAAAGGATACTTTTTGCTGGACGTGTACATATGATCTTCAGTATAAAAACAACAAATTAATGATAAACCTTTAAAATGTCTGTACCGAATATTCAGGCAGTACTTTTATGTAATTACATATTCTTTTATCCAAGAATACATTTACGGAAAGATAAGCGTCACTGTCTTTACTTACCTCCTTTTGTTATAGATAAGCGGGACAACTGAGGGCCGTCTGTCGTCATATTTCTTTGAATATCCTTTCTTAAATGAGAATAGTTTTGCTGCCATATTCATCCACTGACGCGCCCACCAAAAATGCGTGAAACTTTTCCGGTATTTCTTTGTCTAAGATTTGAACATTTCTTATATAAAATCTGAAGTCTTCAAAAAGTATTCAAACAAAAGCATTTATATTCATTTTGTTCAACTTATATGAAAAACTTATACATGTATTACTCAATTACACACATTTCATCATCAAAATTTCTGATGAAAATGAAAACATCATCAACATATATGCAATGATAATAGAGTTATTGTTATATGAGCAGATCTTATCTATAATAATAAAGTGTTCAAATAATCATAGAACTATCCTAAACAATTCATATAAATTGGTTACAGTCCATACTTATTATATATTATATTTCATTCCTTGTCCAATTTTGATTAAAACCATTTCATTATTTTTGGTACTTACATAAAATTAAAAGAGTATGATAATGCTGTAATTTCTTGCAAAGCTTTTTGAACCAGAACAGTTAAAATTTTCCAATACATTACAGTGGCCTATAAAATAAGTTACATGATTGGTCATTAAGTCTCTTAAATGAAGTTCAATAAAACATCAAGTAGCAATAAACAGGGATAGTTAGTAAAATTTGTAACATATCATTGATGTTTGCTACCATGTATTGAATCAAACAAGTTAGCAGAAAAGATACTCACTGTATACTCCAAGAAAACTTATTGATATTAAAGTGAATCGGTAATGGCATATATATAGTACAATTAAAATGATGTTGATAGTTTTTAGTATCATACATGTCAACAAAGCACGAAAGAATCATATATGGATGTTGTTGGTCAGTGTTAAACACATGACATTCAATATATACCACCTAATAAAGTGTTCTAGAAAATCATATTATCACTCATCATAAAATTGTTCATACTAAACACTTTAGAACTAAATCAACATTTTGTTTTCCGGACAATTATCATGATATTATCCAAATGATACATTTTTATCATTTTATCAATACTAGAAATTGAAATACTAATGGAAAATGTGCTCATTGTAGACCAAGCCACTTCTAATTTTATGTCGGTATGATACGCCGAGATGTTTGTTGCAGGAAATGCTCATGCAATTTAATATTTTTAATGTTTTATCACGTTTATACTACGAGGATTGAACTTAAAAGTCCAAAACACTATATAACACGACTAACACGACTAACACTGCCTTTTCATGTATTTTTCTGTTTACATTAGGCATGCTATATCGTTATTAGAGTACAAACAATGTAGTTTATTCACCCCGTAATTGCACAATAAAATTGATTGTATTTTAAAATATACCGTGTGATCAGTGCGTTACGTTTCAAAAAAAATAATGACAAGATTTGTTTGCTCATATTAGAGATTCCATATGTCTGTAACTTCTTGACCATTTAGTAATATATCATTTCCAATATTTAATGACGTGTTTTGTAGGCAATGTTCTTGATTCATCATAGAAATGTTTTCAAGTTTGATAACTGAAATGGCTTTAAAATTGTCGCCAAATTAAAGCTGTAAGCCTCCAAAACATCAAGTACAAAGAGAAGTATTAAGATCCTTGAAGATCATCCAACACGACATTATTGTAGTTTTTGTGGTACTTTTAGTTTTATATATAATTTAAAACGCTAATTTAAATTTGCCATAGCTTTCGGCCTTGCGACCTTCTTCAGCATCATTTATTATACTTTTATATACATGCATATATTAGGCTTTTTACTTGGATGATTATTATTATATTTAGTTCCACCCATTGTTTTTCTGTTAGGGTCACACACATTCTTTTTCTTTGGGACAATGCGCCGCTTTTCGTGGAATGGCACTAACATGTCTCATTAGAGGCTCTATTATATCCACCGTATGAACGAATACAACTCCGAATGATTCTAAATACAAAATTTCAACATAAACAATTTTAAATGATGGATTCTGTATAAACCTGTACTATGAGGCGTTGACAGTAGCTTGTACTTTCCAGTACTGTCCATGATTAGGCTTAATCGAACCGAGCTTGCAAAGTTTTCAGTTTTGCAATTTTGGACTTTCCTTAGGGGTGCTATTTCTCTCTTTTTTAAGAAAAATATTCAAGTAATAATATACGCATTATGTGCGATTAATGACTAATTTTGCAGTATTTATCAACATATTGTTGGTGAAGTTCGCAATGTGTCAATTACTTAATTTGTTTACTTCACTAAATGTTACTATAAAACATTTTCATGAAAACAAGCATACATCTGGAGGCATATTGTGGAATAGCTAACAATACCTGTGTATTCATTTGTTCTTATTCAAGCTTATTTGAAATTGTTGACAAACCAATTAATGTTCTTATTACTCTGAATTTCAACCTTGAAAATATTTGATTAGCAACTAGATGACTTGTTGTTTCCGAACAAAACTAGTAACAAAAGGTTCATAAAACGATTGCAGATGTAAACTTATGTTCCGAGTTGATAAAAAATATTTTATAGATGATTCTAATTGCGATATAATTTGAAAGTTTTCTGACATAGAGAGATAGGGACAACAGTCTGTCAAATACATGACCATTATGTATTTCTTTCAGTTTCTTTAGTACTACTTACTGTTGTTTTTTTATGAACATTTTATTACTGATTTTTTCTTATGCAATGCATGATGTAATACACAATAGTATTACGTTACGGAGAATTAATATGATAGATACACCTTACTACGTGATAAAATGTTTATCTTTACTTGATAAAATATAACCTATTTATTGTAAACTAGTACAATTGTACTTGATATTTGAAGGTCAAGTTGATTTCGTTTCATGCCATTAAAAAAAAGAACATTGTAAATAATAAAATATGAAAATAAATACCTCAGAACAGGTCATGAATTGGGGATTTTGGCAATTTTGTCCCTCTTCAATAACGATGTTTTGTCTATCCAAATAAAAGATGTTTTGTATACCTGCATGCCTTAAAACAAGAAACGACTACATAGTACCGACCAGTTATACATATTTAATTAGTATTAACCCAATTCATAACCATAACTCAATCATACAATCAATCACAATATACCGGGTATACTATGACTTACTGTCACTAACAATTCATAGACAATAATTACACACGAAGAACATTGCCCTGTGCAACAGAGAAATGAAATACCTAAGAATTGGAATTGCTTCAGAATCGGGGGGCTTAAGTCTGATCATGAACTTTGCTTAAAGCAGATTTCATCATTTAAAAAAAAAAAAAGTAACATATTCGCAGATATGTTCCTACGGTGTTCTAGAACATTTAATGTGACACGTTGTAATACCAGGAACAGATGTCCAGAACCACTCTTTCAAACCCTCTTTTGCTTGTGTACATATGACAATTTATGTATTAATACATCACCCCCAAAATATTGGTACAGTCAGCTAAATAGCCAGGGAGATACGGCATACAACCAAAAAATAAAAATATTATGCAACTTAATAACATAACAATCATATCTCAAGTTCACATTAGATACATTACAAATTGTTTTCTTTTTAAATTAAACATTTACATAAGACAAACGAACAAGTGTAAATTAGTTGTTTTTATTTTATTTTGGAAAACACGGTTGATTTAATTATGTCGACGCCCACTATCTGACCCATAAATGTATATGTACATTTACCCATTTCTGACGATAACCTTGAATTTTTAGCTAATTTACTACCCTAAAAATAAATAGGTCTACCCGATATGCTTCAAAGGCCATTATACTGTGAACATGTATTGAAAGAAAACAAAGTTTTATATATTTTTAAAAGAAATGAGGACTATTTATGCAAACTAATGGAGAATAGACTAGTGGATTTCACAATTTCAATCATTGTTTTAAGCTATCTAGGTAGGTAAATTTCATATTTAAGAAAAAAATTTCTAAAAAGAAAAATACACGGGGTTGAAATGGAGGAGAGACATCGAATATTTTATATGTTGTTTTTTTCACTTGATTCATCATGAGTATCTCAAGGTTTTCTGATTCAAATATAAACCATTGTTTTGATTGACTAGATTACTTTTAGCTTGCAAAATATGCTTCCATATTACAACCTAGAAAAAAACTTTATTAAAGGGATAATGTAAATGAGATTAAATGGGACTTTTAAGTTTTTGTAATAATGCACTCGGAAAATAACTGCAATAATATATAAAATACAATATTAACATATTCTTTCAAGTTACACATTCTTGAATTTACTTACGTAAAACATATAGTGTTTTCCCCCACAAAATAGGCTTGTTTATCGTCAGTGTTGACGTGATAAGCATACTAATATTATTTTGTAATCACACAAATCAGGAAGTGATTGTTTGTGTCAAAGTATATAAAAGGATGTTTTAGCGAAAGTCATTTATTTTACAATCTCGACATGAAAAAGAACTAATACATTCATACTGCTACTTCTGCAACATTTGCCTGCTCAAGGATAAACGCCTTCTTTTAAGGTTTCCGCTTTCTGAAATCCTTGCCATTCATCTGACAAAAGTTAGACGTACTTTAGCGAACTCATTATCAACTCATGTTTATATATTAAAACAATTATGTTTAAATAGTTTAATGTCCGGATATAAATGCCTCTATTCTCAGGTTATTTCAAAATTCCTAAATATGGATTGAACAGAGTAGAAATGACTTATCATTTTATATTTCGTCACAGAAGTTTATTAAACTTTAGTTGTTTGTTTTGACCTAAAATTCATGTTAGCAACAGGTTAATTTATTGGAATGTAAGTAGTCTGAACGGTAAATGTGACATTGGAAAAAACGAAAACACATACCATGAGTTTTAATTTACATTAATTGCTGATAACTTTAGTCAAATTATAAAAAAGGTTCAAATAGTGGCTATCATAAAATGTGAGGGCAATTGTGATAAAAAAAACAACTTAAGTATGCAGGCATAATTATATTATATCAAATCAATCTTATGTATAAAATGCATGCATTATTGCAAAATTATTACATTCCAAATGATACAAACTTGTTGTTTATAAAATTACAAGTTTGCAGCATTGTAAAAGGATTGATGACTTAATTAACTCGGTATTTGCCCGCGTTTGATAACCAGTGGATCATATTTCATTAACATACTTAAATCTTCCTTTATTTACATATTTTAGCAAGGTTAAAGATGAAAGTTAATTTTTTTCAGCTGAATTATTACTGTATCAGTAGATAGGTATACCCGATATACTTCATATAAGTTTATTTTGTAAACACCTGAAAAAGGAATACAATTTTGGTATATTTCTCTCACTAAATAAAGGATAAATTGTGTTTTTGTGTAAGCTATGGAAATGAAAGATACTGTTTGCCTTATTTTAAAAATTATATGTGCTCTCTTAGGTAAGAAAGTTTTATATCTCTGTCAATTTGTATTATCATATAATATGTAAAACAATTTTTTAAGTCGGTTATCTGGTAATTTGTCATCATCTGTCACCTGTTGCGATTGGTTTAAACATATTTATTCAACATAACACTTCGCGTCCATTGAATAGTTATTAAATACAATATAATTAAATTAATATCATGGGGTTAAAATTTTGCAAAATTTGATTTTAGGTTCATTTACCTGGGCAAAGCCATGCAATAACGTTAACCATACTTACACGGGAAATCCAAATGAACTTTGTGGCGAAACAACAACTCAATTAGAAAAAGACATCAGTAACAGTAACAGGGGAAGTGACTCGAAAAATTCTGGAATAGCTATTCACACTGTTTATACAATAATAGTAATTTCTGGTGTGATTCTGATACCAATTATTGTGTTAACAAGGGTATGCTGGTTAAGAAAACTGCAGAGGCAGAGATGTGAAGTCATCAACGAAATGAGGCAAATTGTTGATGAACGTTTTACAGAAGAGCAGATGAGAACAAGCGGGATGTTTAGTTTAGATCTGTGTAAGATACGTTGTTTTAATAAAGATTTCATGTTATGTTATTTGTTTAATTGGTTGATGAAGAGTATAGTCGGAATAAGTTTAAGATTATATGCATCGAGGCGTGTCAAATATACATTTGAAAAAAATCGTTTTATTGATTATTTGTAAATCTGTTATTGATATGAATTTGATTATAAACTTCGTTAGATATATCATTCTGATTGAAATTTGAATTGTTTATTTATAGTGCATTTAATTATAAATCTAAATTAAAATAACTTAACATCTCTTACTTCGAAGGAAAGTTTTTGTACTTATATTGAAGGCCTAATCAGTAAAGGTAATTATTAAACAAATGTAATTATAAGATAAATCAAAGGAAAATGCATCGAAATTATGGTTATTTCTGTCCTAAACCATGATAACTTTATCACCATTTAGTTATTTTTGTATAATGCAAGTTGTATTGAATTAGAAATGTGTCTATGGTTTGATGCTTAAGTTATTACACATATGTCATATTCATCTTTTTACAGCAAACCTACCACCCGTTGTGATGCTTGGAAAACCACCATCATACGAAGAAAGTATTGCAAACCCCTGTAGTGGATCTCCGCCACCCTATGATGATCCACTAGGCTATAAAAACAATCACTTTGATTTTGGTGAAAATATAACAAATACTTGTGGAGAAGAGACTAATATACAACAAAGTACAAGTTCAACAGTTGCTTTCGGACACGAGACAGAGAATGTCCCTGTGCCTTCAACAAGTTCAAATAATTCAAACGACTGTGTTGTTGTAAACAATGAAGTAACTTTTACTAGCTCATATAGATTCTGACCTTGATTGTAAATCGAAAATAAAATTGTTACAATACTCACTGTAAGCTCATAGGGGGCTAACAAATGAAATGCACGTTTTACCAGCTGAAATAGCTGACAGAAATCGGACTTATATGACAGCATAGCACAAGTCTGTATTTGAGAAACTTTTAATTACATCGTTGTGCTTGAAAACATGATCCAAAGATAAACCAAACTGGTTAATCAATGGTTGTGTTGTAGAGACAGATTGATCTACTTCTCTTGCAAACAGCTTGCTTGACTAGGATAAACTGTTTGAGTATACCTGTACTAAAACAAGAAAAGGAGATTATCATACAAACAAGTTGATATTATTTCACTGCAACTCTATGATGCACAAACAGATATGTAGATAGATATGAACATAGGCTGAAAGTGGGCAAAAAGAAATTCTTGTTACCTATTAATTACAAAAGTAACCAGCGGAGGGAGAGATTGTATATAAAACATATGTTTGGTATTTTTGTGGACCAATAATTCTCTTCCTGATACATTTCGTCGAATTTAATATATTTAGGCACGAACAATATATATTTTGTATCTCCGTTAACGTTGCTATTAAATGTATTTGTTATCACATGGCAACATTTCTCTGACCATTCCGATCCATAATATTAAACACTGTTTTGTTGTTTTTGTTTATTTTTTGTTTTGTTGCTGTTGTTGTTGTTTTTTTATCCAGTTTTCAAATCCTGTAACTAACTTTTAATGTACAAATAATGTATTTACAAGTATAAATGTAACTGACATTTACCTAATTTTGTCATTCAAATTAAATGTTTATATATCTGTTTATACACATTACCACTTTGCACATAAACTGTTAAATAAACTATGCATTTATTTGCACATAAACTGTTAAATAAACTATGCATTTTACTTATTTGTATTTATTTTATATATTTCTACAGTGAGAGATCTGGTGAGAAAATAAAAGTAAACAATACGAAGTACAAAACTTACATTGAAATAACGTGTTTTTTGTGTATTATCATTACTATTTTATTATTATAATGACCGCCTTCATTTCATCAAATGCACAATTCTTTTAGATTACTTTTCTTGTTTTTTTCAGCATGACTCTTTATTCATCATGATCTATCTGCAGGTACAGATAGATACGAATTTAATGGATATTCGATTGATAATTTTCATTTAAGATGTAGGGTTGTCTCCCATTGTTTGTAACTAATAGTTGTGTATTTGTGAAAAATGTAATTCATGCTGCCTATGTAAAACATTGTATTTGATTATTTGTGAAGTGTGTACTGTCCAAAAATGGTAACTTTAGATCTTGTTATGAGCGATGAATAGTTGGTAAAACACTCAGTTAGATAGACTGTTTAATATTCTGTCAATAACATTTACTTTGAGTAAAATCTCATTATCTTCTTCAGTTATATGATGCATCGTCTGTAATTAATAAAGAAAATAGTCAGATAATCATTTACTATTTAGATCCATATACATACAACAGTTTTACCACTGAGTTTGCGCGTAAATATTCTATAGCAATATATTAATGTTCAAAAAATCTATTAAGACTTGTTTATTATTGAATCTAGGTAGGACATTCAAGATTGAAAATAACATTTAAGCTTGTAAAACTACAAAATGAAATTTAAAATGAAGGCGAATCAAGCTCCATGCTTCTGGTAAAAGTCAGTTATTTCAGACACAAATTATATCAAATTATTTTCAAACAATTTTAGCATGCAATTTGATTATGATTATGATACAGGACATATACAAATGATTCAACAATCCATTATGAATGTGAGGATTTATTATTCGTTGACCCCCGAGGCACAAGTAAGTATATCATATTAAAATTATATGCATTTCTATAAGTCGCGAACGGATAGAACAGCCGACCTTGGTAAGTATTGTCTGAGGAGATCCTTTAATTGACGATGTCTTGTCTTGTAATTTTGTATATTTTGGACATACTTCTGACCACTTATCAATAATGTATATAAAATCCTTGGTCAAATTAAAAAAAAGCTGGTTACTTTAAAAAAAATTAGAGGTCCTGGTCGTTTGATGTCCATATATTTGTTTGGTATTAGATTTGTCACGTTTGTATTGTGTTCAAGTATGTACCTCAATTTATTACTTTCAGGAAAGGTAGGGTCAACAGTCTGTCAAATATATGACCATTAAGTACCGGTATCTGTTTCAACTACTTTAGTACCACCTACTTATCAAAACCGTTGTGTTTTTTTTTTACTTTTTAATACTGAAATTAAATTGTATGCTAGTGCTTGTTTATGAAGGTCTTGTCGATTTCCATTCAAAGAATAGGACGTTACGAAAACAAATAAGCCTCAAAACAGGTCATAATGTGGAATAAGTATCTATCTCTGACGACAACCTTGACTTTTCAGCCTATTTACTACCCTTAAAGGTAATAGGTCTACCAGATATGCTTCAAATGTTGTTATAGGCTAACAAATATGGAAAAAAAGTTTTACACACATGTATATTTATTTTTTTTCAAAGGAAGAAGGAATATTTATACAAACAAATTGGGAATAGAGTAGTGGATTTCATAATTTCAAGCACTGTTTTAAGCCATCTCGGTAGGTAAATTGCTTATTTAAGAAAAGAATTTTAACCAAAAAAAAAGAGGTTGATATAAAGTAGGAGAGAAATCGGATATTTTACATGTTATTTCTTCACTTGATTTCAAATTACAATCTTGAAAAAGATAAATAAACGGTAAGTGTGTCATTGGCATAAAAGAAAACGCAAACCATAAATATAAAAGATACATTAATTAATAATAATTCTAGTGCAAAATTTAAAACAGGTTCAAATAGTGGCTATCATATTGTGAAACATGTTTTATGCTGTGATTAAAGTGTTTTGCAAGCAGATGGCCATTTCGATTAAGCTATACCACAAAAAAAAGAATTAGTGTATAGGTCTACAAGAATGGCAACAGTAGGGATGGCACCAAAGACATCTTATATATTAGGAAATCAATTTACTGGATGTGGTATTGCGGATATGACGACCACCTATATATTAAGATAGTGTGACTTTTCAAATAATGAGTTATTAATTCTCGTAAACTATACGGGCAGGACCGAAGTGGAATCGAATATTTAAATGAGTGCTTTAATTTATTCATTATTGACAGGTCAATAAAATCAGACTTTACCTATGAAAATCTATGTATTTATACATCATCCCAAAAACTTTATTCAGTCAGGCAAATACTTCATACACGAAAATAAAAGCATTATACAATTTTATAACATTACCACTATATCAGTCTTGATTTACAAGTTCACATTAAATACATTACCAATTTATTGCATTTGAATTAAACACTTAAATAAAAGTACGAACAAGTGTAAATAAGATAAATAATACATGGTTGATTTAATTTCGTTCTGACCCATTTATAAAGGTTGATGTACTTTTATCTATCTCTGACGATAACCTTGAATTTTCATCATATTTACTACCCTTAAACGTAAATATAGGTCTACCCGATATGCTTCAAATGTTGTTTGTTATACAGGGAACAAGTTTGGAAAGAGAACACAGTTCTATATTTATTTTTTAGAGAAAGTAGGATTATTAATGCAAACTAATGGGGAATAGAGTAGTGGATTTCATAATTTCAAGCATTGTTTTAAGCCATCAAGGTAGGCAAATTGTACATTAAGAAAATAATATTTTTTTAAAAAAAAGTTTAAATATCGGATATTTTGTTTTCATCACTTGATTCATCATAAGCATCTCCAGGCTTTCTGTTTAAAAATAAACTATTGTTTCCAATTGTCTACATTACTTTTAGCTTGCAAAACATGTTACTATATTACAATCTGGAAAAGATAATTAAAAGGATAATGTCAATCAGATCAAATGAGACTTTTTTGTGTTTGGAATAATGCACTTGGAAAATAATTGCAATGAAATATAAAATACAATTTCAAAACATTCTTTATAGATAAACATTCTTGAAGTTATTTACATAAAAAATAAAGTTTGTTGTGTGTTTCATATATTTTGTATTCGACACTTTCAGACAAACGCCTTCTAGAAACGTTACCATTCAGGTATCCGCTTTCTGAAATCTTTGCCATTTTTAGGCAAAATTAGACATACTTTAGCGAACTCACTCTGAAATCGTATCTATATATTAAAAGAAAATAGTTTTATCAATTCAATTTCTGTCTATAAATGTCTCTTTAAACAGGTTCTTTCAACGTCGGAAAAAAGGCAGATGATATAAAGCAGAATTGTTTTATCATTATGTATTTCGCCACAAATGTTTATTTAAAATTTAATTGTTTGTTTTGACCTAAAAGTCATGTTAGCAACGGATTAATGTAGTGGAAGTAGTCTGAACGGTAAGTGTGTCATTGGTGTAAAATAAAACGCATACCATGCGTTTTAAGATAAATTAATTGATGATATCTTTAGTCAAATTATAAAACAGGTTCAAATAGTGGGGGTAATTGTGAAAAAAGATAAAAGTGATCAGGCATACCTATATGATATATCAATCTTATTATAAAATACATACATTATCGCAAAGTTATCACATTTCAACCAATACAAACGTACTGTATATAAAACTGCAACTTTGCAGAAACAAAACCTCACACTGGAAAAGGATTGATGACTTAATTACATCGACATTTGCCCGCGTGTGATAACCATTTTACGATCAGATTTCATTTATAAACTTAAATCTTCCTTTATTTACATAATAAAGAAAGGTTAAAGATGAAATTATATTTTTAAAGCTGCTTTATTACTGTATGAGTAGATAGGTATACCCGATATACCTCATATAAGTTTATTTTGTAAACAAACGTGAAAAAGGAACACAATTTTGGTATATTTCTCTCACAAAATAAAGGATATAAATTGTGTTCTTGTGTTAGCTATGAAAATGAAAGCTACGGTTTGCCTTATTTTAAGGATAATATTTGCTCTCTTAGGTAAGAAAGGTCTATACATGTATGTCTTTGAATTTTTAGTAAATATATTTTTTAAAGTTGGTTATCTGGTGATTTTTATCACTAATAACCTGTTGCGATTGGTTAAAAGATATTTATTCAATATGACATTTAACTTGTAATCAATATTTACAAATAACATTTTGAGATAGGCAGAAAGCTATAAAAGTTTATGAGTGCCCTCTACCTATTACGATAATAAGACAATAAATGCGTTGAAATTGATAAGATATAAATTATGATTAATATGGTTACATATACTCATTAATTGACATCGTCCAATTAATAGTAATTAAATCTCCCATTAATTATATCCCCTTTTCATAATTTCAATTATATATTTTTAATACACCATATAATTAAATCAACATCATGGGGATGAAATTTTGCAAATTTTTATTTTAGGTTCATATACCTGTGCAAACCCATGCAATAACGTTAACCATACTTACACGGGAAATCCAAATGAACTTTGTGACGAAACAACAACTCAATTACATGAATTAGAAACAGACATCAGTAACAGTAACAGTGGAAGTGACTCGGAAGATTCTGGAATAGCTAGTCACACTGTTTATACAATAATAGTAGTTTTTGGTGTGGTTCTGATACCAATTATTGTGTTAACAAGGGTATGCTGGTTAAGAAAACTACAGAGGCAGAGATGTGAAGTCATCAACGAAATGAGGCAAATTGTTGATGAACGTTTTACAGAAGAGCAGATGAGAACAAGCGGGATGTTTAGTTTAGATCTGTGTAAGATACGATGTTTTAATAAAGATTTCATGTTATGTTATTTGTTAAATTGGTTGATGAAGAGTATAGTCGGAATAAGTTTATATGCCCCGAGGCGTCTATGATAATCATTTACATTAATTACTTGTAAATCTATTACTTTTGATATGACCTTGATCAATAATCTCGTAAGATATATCATTCTAATTAAAATTTGAACTGTTTATTGATGGTGCATTTTATTAATAATCTAAATATCTCTTTCTTCGAAGGAAAGGTTTGATACTATATGCAATATTGAAAGCCTAATCAATAAAAGTTATGAATAGACAAAAACAATAATAAAATAAATCAAAGGACAGTATATCAAAATTTTCATCAGTATCGAAATGATGATTAATCTTATTATGAATAAAACATGGCGATTTTATCATCAGTTGTTCATTTTCGTAATAATTGCGAGGTGTATTGAATAAGAAATGTTTCACTAGATTCTATATTAGTTTCTATTGTTTGATGTTCAAGGTTACAGCTTAAGTTATGACACATATGTCAAATTTATCTTTTTACAGCAAACCTACCACCCGTTGTGATGCTTGGAAAACCACCGTCATATGAAGAAAGTATTGCAAACCCCTGTAGTGGATCTCCGCCACCCTATGATGATCCACCAGGCTATAAAAACAATCAATTTGATTTTGGTGAAAATACAACAAATACTTGTGGGCAAGAGACTAATATACAACAAAGTACAAGTTCAACTGTTGCTTGCGGACGCGAAACAGAGAATATCCCTGTGCCTTCAACAAGTTCAAATAATTCAAACGACTGTGTTATTGTAAACAATGAAGTAACTTATACTAGCTCATATAGATTCTGACTTTGATTGGAATCGAAAATAAAATTGTTACAATACTCACTGTAAGCTCATAGGGTGCTTACATTACAACAGCTGAAATAGCTTGTAGCTATAGGCTGATATACATCGGTTGGTTTAGACTAATATGACAACATAACACAAGTTTGATTTGAGAAACTTTTATTTGCAACGTCGTGCTTGAAAGCATGATCCAAAGATAAACAAAACTGGTAAATCAATGGTTGTGTTGAAGAGACAGATTGATCTACCTCTCTTGCAAACAGATTGCTTGTTTGAGTAGTATACCTGTACTAAAATAAGAATAGGCGGTTATCAAGTTGACCTTATTTCATCGCAACTCGATTATGTAGATAGATATGAACATAGGCTGAAAGTGGGCAGAAAAATATCTTGTTACTTGTTAATTACAAAAACAACCAGCGGAGGAAAGGTTTGATATATAAAAGCACGTGTTTTGGCTTTAATGAAGGTATTTTTGACAGACTCATACTAGTAAATAGTTTTCTTCCTCATCCATTTCCTCAGATTAAATACATTTAGCCCCAAACGATAAATATTTTGTATCCGCTTATAAAGGTTATCAGAATTTTTCTAATCATTCCAATCAATAGAATAAAACCTGTGTTTGCGCTGTTGTTCTTTTTTCATCCTGAACATGACTTTAAACGGATTTTAACAAATGAGTACAACATTAAATATATTCAATTCATGTTATACTTGTATGATTGTTGCGTTGTTAAGTCAATGCAAAGTTTTAGGACAAATGGTCTGGCAGAATGTGACGATTTGTAACCACATTTCAATAATATTTCTTCAATAATTGCACGGACCCTTTTAACTGAATATTTGGAAAAAACAAATATGTATTTATTTTTTCTATTTATATCTTTGCATCTGATATTACAATTAATATGAGTTACATAAATATACGAACACTATTATCTACTGAATATATTCTTTTGAATTCAATTGTATACACTCCTACAGTTCAATTTTTCCATTTATGTCATTTATTTGTATATACATGTATATTGTATTTGTGGTACTGTACACATCACATTTATCTTAAATGAGTTATATTATTCATAGGTTCTGGTAATATCCGCTGTTTATGAGGTTTAAACATTTATTATTTCTTGGCTTGTGATTTTTACAGTCAAAAATATATTGATGCATATTTTATTGAAGTATTAAAAACTCTGTTTGATATGCGTGTATATATATGTGTAAATCGTCGAATAAGAGTGTTCGTGGTTTTACTCATGCATGAATATTGTAAGCGCATTCGATTATAATAAAGTGTAATAAATGTTCGTAAAATATAAGTAAAAGATACTGACATTTACCAATTTTTAATCTCGTCATATACATGTATATATTATACAGTATGCACATATACTGTTACAGTAAGAGGTATTTCACATTTATTGTAAAATGTATTGTTAAAATTTAATGTCTGATACTGTGATGTCTCATGCTTATATATTTAAAATACTGAAATTTCTTAAATAACTTTTTCAACATGCATTTTTAAATTGATGTGTTATTTACCTGTCAAATACGTACTAGTTGTACGGTCTATGCACACAATATATTTTCGGTAAGTTTCGGTAAGTTTTGTGAGATGTACGTAGTCAGATGTGATTTGTAAACAGTCAAACACTTGTCCCTCGGTGTCGAGGGTAGTGTTTTGAACTGTTGCCCTCGGCCTACGGCCTTGTGCAACAGTTGAAAACAGTGAAAACACTATCCCTTCCAACTCGGGCCAAAAGTTTTAATGTTCCCAAATCACATATGAAATAACTGTATACTATTATTTTATTTTTCATGACCCATAAGCACTATTTACTTTAAGATTATTTTTTTCTAGTTTATTCAGTATAGCATGACTCTTTATTCAGCATGACTCTATCTGTAGGTGAAGATAGAAACGAAGTAAATGTATATTTGATAATTAAATTTAATTTAAGATGTATGGTTGTCTCCCATTGTTTGTAACAAATACCGTTTAGTACTAGTATTTGTTTAAAATGTTATTCAAGCTGCCTATGTAAACATTGTATTTGGTAAGAAGTTATTTGTCAAGTATGAACTGTCCAAAAAGTTAACTATTAGATTAATTCTGCGCGATGAATAACTGTTGGTAAAACGTTCAGTTTGCCTGACTGTTTTATATATTGTCGGTGACATTTATTTTTCCTCAATGCCTGCATCTTGCGGTCCGCTTTTATTTTAGATACAAATAAATAATCACTTAATGCGTGATTAAGATTAGTCACTATATATCTGTCTCTAGGTAGGGTTTTTTCTTTGTTTCCGATGACGCTCGTGTTGCTAGGACGGGACTTGTCTTCATTTCCATATGAACGGTGTGCTCCTTATGCTGCTCTTGTGTACCACTGTATGACTGTAAAATCTCCGTATCCTCTTCAGTTATATGATGCATTGTCTGTTATAAATAATAAAGAAAATAGTCAAATAATCATTTACTAGCTAGTATATCTTTATACACATATACCTGTATCATTACTAAGTTTGCGCATAAATATTCTCTAGTAGTGTATTAATGTACAAAAATGTATTAAAAATGTCTATTGTTAAATCAAGGTAAGACGTTCAAGGTTTGAAATAACATTTTAATTTGTAAACATTCAAAATGAAATTCAAAATGAAGGTGAATCCAGCTCCATATTTCTTGTAAAAGTCAGCAATTTCAGCCACAAATTATATCAAAATAGTTTCAAACAATTTAATTATTTTAACATGTTATTTGGTAATGAATTATGACATATACATATGATTCAACATTGCAATGGATGTCAAGATTCTCGAAACACAAGTAAGTGTAATATTGAAATAATCTGCATTTCTATTCAAATATCCAAGTCATTTTACGACATTAACCCTTTACCTCATATATACGCGAAACAACACCCCCAAACACATGTTCTCGTTTGAAAAATGTTGCTAAAAAAGTGAGCTCTTTTTCGGCGCCGTCCCCCATCCAGAAGATACATCAGGGGGTTGCCAGAAGGGGGATGTGTCCCATTCTGTTCGAGGGGTTTGAAGGGGGACGGTAGTCCCCTCATCGCCAAGAAAGTTTTGGACTTGTGAGAGGCTAAAAATGGCCACAGGTCGATCATAAGGTAACGTTAAACTAACGCTGAAAAGCCTTTGCCCTTGAGAAGTTGCAGCACTTTGAAATAAATTTTTATGGAAAAAATGAAGGCAAAATAGTGATTTTTGGCAATTTTGAGATGTCCCCTCGTTGCCATGGTAACAGGAAATTTAAAACTGAGTATGTCGTTACAAAGGCAATGGTCCAATCAACATTTGTGCCAAGTTTGATTAGTATTGTAACAGGAGGCTTTTCAATGAAAACGGCCATTTTTTCACAATATGCTCATGGGGGAAAGGGTTAACTAAAAAAATAAAAAATGTACAAAACAACAATTTTTCACCAAAATTTGGTGAAAAACCACATGTTAATGTGCAATAGTGAATAAATATGATGAGATAAAATATACCTCATATCCCAAAGAATTTGTTAATTATGGCTCACCACTTAACACTGTATCAATGAAATTTAGAAGACATTCGTTACTCTTGAAAAATATGATTTAAAAATAGAAAAGGAATAAGTCATATATTTCAAGACCTCCCTTACAAGGGACAGGTAGTGATGGGGTTGCTTGCAAACTTTACCAAACGGCTACCGAGTCATGAATATTTACAACACTCGTACGTATTTTTTTTTTCAGGTAAATGGGTTTGTATGTTATTTTGAAAAAATTTAATTCCTTAAGGCAATGCTTGTGACTCACTCGGTTTAAGGTTTCAGCTTCCTAGCAGTTATTGAAGATATGAACTGGTCTTGTTCATATTGTTGCGATTTAACAGATGACAGTTCTGGTCGTATTTTTTATTCATTTATTCACATCTTTAAGTTTTGGAGTTCACCAATCAAGACAAAATATATTTTTGTCAATCTTGAGTAAATGTTTTAATTTGCAAGTTCCAATTAAAGTTTCAATAGACACAAATAATTTGTTCAAACGCAATTTAGTCGCAAACTTGTACCTAAGCATTTTTGGTGGCAAACTTATGCTTCAATATTATTGCGTATAAAGTCGTGGACAGAACTATAATTTTAAGAAATAATTATTCCTAATATTATGGTATTTTTTTGTTTTTAGTGTCTTAATAATTAGATATGAAACGATAATGGAAGTACATGTATTTGAAATTGGTAGATTCTGGTAGGAAGAAAATTTCATGAAATGTTAGGAAAGTACATTTTAAATCACTAAATATCATTTAATTAGAATATTGAAATGTACGTTTGACAAGGTTTAAGAAAAGTAGCTCTAAAAAAATGTTACTTCTTGGAAAATAAAAATGGAAAAAAAATAATTTCAAGATCAGTGCATTTGAATTAAACAATATCCGTCAAATTACTCATATGCTATAAACAATCGATAAAAACCGGCAAATTTCGTTCGTTCTCAATTGGTATTTTCAGTCTTCTTTCGAAAGATGACCCAAAACAAGAGTAATTATGAAATATCGTGTGACAGCTGTAAAAGGTTCCCCGTGTTTTTTCTGAACCTTTGGGGTCATTGATTCCATCACATTAAATGTTGAAAATGGAGTACCCTCAAGTCGGGGCTAGGGGACGTGAGAGATGTTGCATAACTTTTTATGTAAAGACTCAATCAAACCAAATCTGCAACCCTTCGCCTTATTTTGTTGTTATTAATGCTTCCGAGGGATCACCATTTTCCAGGTTTTGATACATCTCACTGTTTCCGCCTAATAGCAACATCTTACTCATAACATGAAAATGTCCTCGCGTCGCGATGTTCATCATGAAAAGTTTATTTATGATGACATGTTTTTCAACTGGGGTTTTCTTTCATGTCGTATTTAATTTATGCTGTTTTTCTTCTTGCAACTTCAGTTATTTTGGTAACCTCCCATTATATTCTTTAACGCTTTTAAGTAATGAACTGAGGAACGTGAAATTAAAAGAAATACGCACGTGTATTATGGTTGTGAAAGAAGACAAATATAATAACAAAGATCAACAATGCACAGCGACATTCAGAGAATGCAGCCCCCAGCAAAATCCAGTTGCACTGAAATAACGCAAAGGCACACAGTAATGCACAGAACAAAATACAGGAGAGGGCACAAAAGCCGTGACATGGAGTGGTCGTGCCAATAAATCATAACAAATGACAACAGAGTTAAGAAACCCCTGAAGATGTCAAAGCCATAAAAAATAAAAACCAATTGAAATAACACATTTGTATAAAATTGTCTAGGAAATATCTGTGACTAATAAACATGATCTTCGTTGTATCATTTTGCACTTTTTTATTTGCACATTTATATTTGACTCTTCTTTTAAAAGATAATAAAATTAAGTTTGCAACCAAAAATGTTTGAAGTACAAGTTTGCTACTAGAATGCGCTTGAACAAGATGTTATTGTTTATTAAAACTTTATTTAGAACATGCAAATTAAAACACTTACAGTATTGACAGAGACAAATTTTGTCTTGTTTGGTGAACTTCAAAACTTAAAGATGAGAAAAATGTGTAGAAAATCCTGTCAAATCGAAAAATATGTACATGACCAGCTTATATCTTCAATAACTTCGTCAAATCAGAAGTTAGGAAGCTGAAACCTAAACCGAGTGAGTCATAAACATTTCCTTAAGAAATTGGCATATCACGTCTACTCTGGTTCTAAGCTATTAAGAAGAGCTAATGTGTTGGCTTTAGGGTGGATGAGGGTGACATGAAGGGGGTTTTTGTGGTTGTTGTTGTTGCTGCTGCTGCTGTTGTTGTTTGTTTCGTGTTTGTTGTTTTTTGTTGTTGTTAATTTTGTTTTTGTTGATTTTGCTTTTTTCTATTTTTTTTTTTTTTTTTTTTTTTTTTTTTTTTTGGGGGGGGTGATTTTTGTGTGTTTTTTTGTATATATCCCGTAGGAACACTTGTCTATGAACTATTTAAATTGAAGATATGTCAACAAAGGTTATTTTACAAACCAATTCTTCATCAACTTGTGAAAATCTTGAGAACGTCTGCTTCAATCTTGGTCTAGCGGTTCTCGTCTCTACTGGTTTGCCATGCTTTTTTCTGTACCATTTACAGCCAAACCAGAACCCAGCAAAGACGGCAAGGCCTAGCGACAAGCATAGCATCAATATGGTCCCCTTGTCAACTTCACTAAGCCCATCTTTACGGAAAAGAAAATTTTTTTTTATTGTTTTATGTTTCAAAACAAGAAATGAAAATATGAAATCAGGTTAAAGTTTTAAACGAGATGCCTTGTCTAAATGCATGCTTGATTAGTGCATTGTTGTATTAAAGAACGTGTAGAAGTTACAAGTGCTAATGAAACAGAACTTTGTGTGTTTGTTTATTTTATTTTCCTTATTAAGTAATCTTTACATTTACTGTTACTTAAACTGGATAAAATATTGAAGCTAAAGTGTTAAAGACATAAAATAACAACAGAAACAGTCTTATACCATTTGATAAATATTTCCCTAACAATTATCAAATTATATTTCGAATAATATAAAAAAAAACTTTGTTTTCGCTTATTATATTAATCGGGGTGCTTTCATAAAGTCATTAAAATCAGATCGAATGTGAAAATTTTAATTTGTTTACCTCCATCATCATCCGCCATATTAATCAACTCATTTCCAACTTCCAGTTCCCTTACAATAACTTAGTTCACTCTCACTATCTGACTATTACATCCTTATTTCATTTAAGGTTCTGGTCCACCTTTTGTTAAACAACTATCTTGTTTTCAATGAAGTTCTTTGCGCCTTAAAATGGTTTCCTATTGTCTGAAGTGATCTGTTTTAACCAATTATAAAAAGCAGGCTCTTTTTAGTGCATTACATATTTCACAAAAATGTCATTTTGCAGAACTTTATAGGATAATTTGAATCAAGCTTACCGAATATTTTGAAATAAGTGACAATTCTGCTTTGCAAATCTCTGTTCAATTAGACTTTGACATTAAGTTAGAATCTGACAATTTCGTCTATGTTTATAGATATCAAGAACACGAACGTTTATTTGCATTATGTAACGTGAAGGAATATAATATTTAAACTTGCAAATCTTCAGCAAAAGCTTAAAATAGCAAAAGTATGTTAATTAAAAGCTGATATAAAATAAAAGAAAATAGCCGTTGACTGCAATCACGTGATCCAAAAATGCCAGATATCAACTTTCTCGCCGCCTTAATATACGAGTAAAAGAATCAGTCATCGGTTGATGAAAACCTTAATATTGATGTCGGTTTGGATAAGTAGCTGATGGAGGGATACACAAAGATGTTAAATCGGAAGTAGTCTCTCGTGATGTGCAGAAATGTAACAATACTAGTATAAAACAATAATAGTATAAATATAGCAATAACATACAATCGTTTCTTCAGTTTTCGTTGTATTTTCGGGTGTACAAAAACAATGTTTGAGTTCGGGTTTTCTTTTTAATTACTTTTGTTCTGGTATTTTAATATATTTTATTTTCACTGGTATGTCCTGTTCAAAAGAATGGACGATTGAAAGACTGCAAAACATAAATTAAAATGTATATAAAACCAGATGAAGTAGCGTTTGGTAAATACATGTATAATCATTTTTACAGTACATTCGCAAATACTTTGTACCGGAAATTGTGTTTTTAATCAAATAGGTAGGCGGTTTCGTGATACGAAGTTGTTGTCAACAAACCTTGATTTTTGTTGTTGTTTTCTTTTATAAACGCTTTAAGGGATTCATTTAATAAAAGGTGCAAATTCATAATCTGATTACATTCGAGAATTTTATGTCATGCTACTTGTTGAAGTTCTTGTAGAATCAGAATATGTGTTATCCGTTTATATTAATACTTCCTCAAGGAATGAATTAAAAGTTTGTTAAGTATGGGTAGCACGTGGACATCTTTTTAAAGGCTCTCACCTCCAAATGGTAAAATGAAAAAAAAAATGAAAAAAAAAAATTCATGTTAACGGTAAATGCTGGTAAATGCTATGTAAATTCATTACTGACATCTTAATTAAAGAAAAAAAATGTTGACAAAATCATCAATATAGCGTGCGTTTCCTCTTTGAATAATACGTTGCGTTACTAACGCAGTAGCCAATTTAAATAGCAGATATTTTTTTCAACATGGTCACGTGTAACAACAGTGGTTCGCAAAAATTCCAGGAGCTGGTACTCCTGGGTCGTATATCACTGTTCGTAAATAAGTAGACACTTATCATATTTGAAGCTTGAGTATTAAATCGATATACTAGTCATCATATACATGTATATTATATAATTAATCAGTTATAACTTTTAGTGACACAAATTAGTTTAAATTACCAAGCAGTTAATTCGTTGCCTATGTTTGATACGATCCCGGATTCCGTGCGCTCCGGATCACAGGTCGCGATTTTGTCCTCTACCATCACGTGGTACGAGAAATAACCTCCGTAGTACAATGTATGATAAAAGAAGGTAAATACCGTTGGCGGAAAAGGGAACTGTCTATTTACACAATATGAACATTTTAAAGTGTCATTTCGATTTCTTTCAAATATATAAAGTTTTTGGAGAGAGATTTTAAAAAGATAGTAAGACGAGAGTATTTCGGAAGAAGCTGTGAAAGTGAGAAACATATTATTCATTAGAAATCCTTCTTTTTTATAAAATTTGATAGGGTTACCAGCTACAGTTTTACCTTCATATGGTTTCATATGATTACATTCTTTGATATATCCTTCCATATTTATACCAGTATTGTTCTGGTTTTGTAAGACAACAGTATAATTTGATTTTTTCTCACTAGTTCCTTGTCCACACTTCATACTTCAGTATTTTGGGATCATTGATTCTAAGCACATTGGGCGTTGACGATTGAATACTGCTTAAGCCGGTGCTAGGGGGCGGGGCACTTTTCCATTGTCCATTGTAAAAGGACATAATCAAAATGAGCCTGCAATTTTCATGTAATTTTATTGTTTTCATTTTTCCCCAAGGATCTCCTCTTTTGCAGATTTTTATACTTCACACCAGCAGGTATCAAGTGTTTTGTGGTATCTTTATATTATAGTTTTTTTTGTGACATCGATGTTTTTCATTTATGAAGTTTTTTCACACAAGGCATGTTTAAGGCTTTCTTGTTGTTGCTATTTTTTGTTTATCTCCACTTGAATGACATTTCAGAAACTGTTCTATTTCAAACTATATTATAAAGTAATAGATTATGTGATATGAAAGTTTTTTAGGATATAACATTACAAGGCAAACAGAAAATCATTTTACAAGAGTGTTTTTATTAATATTAAACAGCAATCAATTAAATACCTGAAAACCTGAAAAAATGGTATTGATAATAATTTAATTGTCTGTAATCAACACAAATATTGTACAAACTAAAATAGTTCACCATAACTTCAATCGAGAATATAGTGGGTTTTTTTTAATATCTTCCATTGATATAAAAATGAATAAACTTATTCTACGAATATTTACCTCAACTCAAATCAACTTTATTAGACAATCAGTCTGTATATGCAATGACATTGGGCAAAAACAAGAAACTGTTCATAATAAATAGTTTATATATTACATATAAATAATCATTGGCAATAGAAGATCATATATTGCACATAAATATGTATTGATAATAAATATATTATATATACATGTATTATATAAATACGTATTGATGGTAAATAGTTCATATATAACATATTAATACGTACTGACAATAAAAATTTCATTTATTACATATAAAAACGTATTGACAATAAATAGTTTGCATATACCATATAATACGTATTGATAATAGTTTATATGTTACATATTATTAAACATTGATTCATCATGTACATAATATATTACATTTACTTACAACAACTACTACAATAAACACACAATATACAGGAACAAATTAATTTTACATTATACTTTTCTTTAACTTTTTTTTCTCTCTTAAGATTAATGATTCTTTAAAAAAAAGCATGCAACATTTTATTATTTTCTTTTGTTATCTGAGTTCACAAGATATTTATAAACGGTTCGACATTGTCGGCTAAGATGAAAGTGTGTAAAACATATAAGTAAAAATGATATTCACTTTCAGTCTCGTTTTTACATACTCGACACAAAAGTACATAATTCTACATTAAATTACATGTACTAAATCTAAACAGAGCACGTTTATTCGTCCAACATGTTCCCGTTAAGTTAATTATATCACAATTTTCAACATAAACCCTATTAAATTTAGTAATCATTGTTAGTTTTAACCATTCTTTTAATGATTTTTCTAATACAATGACTTAAAAATGGTAACTTTCTAACTCGCCTAACACTGCAATATTTGTTGCTTGTTACTTCAAATAAAAAAACATCAATATCTTAATCAATAACTACAAGAATATCAAACAGTACAGATTCAATCTTACATCAAAATAAACCTTTTTTAAAAGGGAATTTTTTAAATAGCTTTACTTGCCTGTTCTGATAAACATTTTACAGCAAGTAAATCTGCAAAAGAACTTGATTTTGAAAATTTAAAACCCAGGTAACTAAAAAGACAACATTAATTTGTCATTACATACACTACAACAATATCTTTATATTTGTTTTAATATCTTGTCTTATTTCGTGTATCTTTTTTTCTCTTTTTGCCTTTCTTCTTTGAAAAATCTTCTTCCATTTCTAAATCGTCAAGGGATTCCATACTTCTCGCGATTTCCGACTTCCTTAGCAAATCGTTTCCCTCTGTGCTTATACAGTCGCATAGAACAAGCAGACGATAAAATCCGAGAATCAAAGTTAGAGCATTTTTCAGCGAAAAGAACATTATTAGATACTCAGAAATATGAATATAGAATATAGCGTAACATCTTACACCCAGAAAAGGCCCATCTTGCATAAACAGAACCATCAAAACAGAGAGTATTTCGGAGCGATCTTGGCTTCTTGACACTGTATTGCGTTCATGACGTTTGATCGCAAATGACGTAGTAATGACGACGACAAATTGCACGAGACTCCATGACCAAACGCCAAGCACTACGTATCTAAAAGGACCGCTGTGCTTTATTTGATCTTTATTAAAGATCTCAGAAAAGTCCAAAATATCAGCACTGATGGCAGAGTACATGATCAGTAATTGTGAAAGAGAATTTCTGTCTATCCTCCCTCGTGGTAAAAGCCATCTGCACAAAATGACCAAAAACATCATCGACTGCTCTAGCAATGAAATTGGTCCTACGTTAAGAAGAAATGTTGTAAGCTTCTGAAATACACAAACAATACATAACTATAAATATATACTATAAATAATCATCAACCACTCTAAGAGACAATTTCTACTTATGTTTTTTTTTAGTAAACATCATCATTTCACTTGGTAAAATCTATTATGAATTATTAAATAGAGAAAAAATGATTCCCTTAAGGAAGCCCAAAACTCAAAATTGAAAATGTTGCAGGCTCGGTTTGATTGAGCCTGTTCATGGACGGTACTGTCAATGCAAACTACCGTCCACGCCCCATAGCACCGGCTTAAAGGGACTCCACTGAGGTTTTTTGACATGATGGGACAGAAAATATTTTTTTCCAGATAAATGTACCATTTGATGTAGGTGTAGACCACGAATCTTTGTGCAAACTTTCTTAACGGTCTATCATTCGCGCACTTCGTTTTTCCATAATAATTATTCAAATTGTAAAGAAATGACCCAAAATGAAAAGCGTTCAAACGCTTTTCACTCAAATTAGGCTAAGAAAAGCATAAAACTACGATTTTCGATTTATTTTAAGGTATATTTCTTAACTATCTTTGCATATATTTCTGATTAAAGCGCCCCAGTTCATTTATGTAAGAAATTCTAATGTTATGTTTTTAGGCTTTTAAACCTCAGTGGAGTGAGTCCCTTTAAGCAGAATCTAACATTTAAACATGAAATGGTAAAATTTTGAATTTAGAAACATCTGCAGATGTATTCATACGGCGAACCTTCAATATGACACTTCTGTCCCCAAGTAATACCTAAACGAGAAAACAATTAGCGGAACTAAACAAAATGGAATTTTGAAAGGGGATGAGAGGTTATGAAGCCTCTTTTATATCGATACTTAGTATTCAGCATATGATTTTATACTTACAGAAGCTTGAAACAATTCATCTGAAGTATTATTCCCTCCGTTTGTAATTGAAAGTGGCGGTATTGTCGTTGTATTTGTTGCTGTTGCTGTTGTTGTCGTGTCATTTAAGCCTTTCGCTGATCCACCATCTTGATTTGCGTCGTGTAGCCTTAAAATCCACAAAACTGGTACAACAGTCGACAGATATATACAAAAACATGTACATATTCTGTAATGGAAATAACAAAGTTTTGAAAGAATATAAACATAATTGACAATATCCCCATCTAGTAATTAAGTATGCAGGTAAAAGTAAAAATGATTTTTCTTCCATTTTGACGTGGATCTAAATGTTTTCTATACTATAAATAGTTCACATAAGTAGTCAGTAACCCAAATGATCAATAAAAAAACTTCTTTAAATATCCTAAAATGTATAATGTATTGTTAACGTTAAATTGCTAAAAAGAGTAAGGCAGTTTTATTTTGTATTTCAGGGAGTTCCTGTCAATTATTAGTCAATCATCATTATAATGGCAAATATTTTGAAATAGATAGCTAAATTCCCTCGACTTGACAGCATAAAAATAAGCATACATAGAAAATGTGCTACATTTTATTGTTTAAGGGTAAAATTTCTAACAACCACGTGTTAAATATTTGTAACCCAAACTAGCGTACAGAAAACTCGATGGTTCTACTAAATAAAACATGAGTTATACAAAGAACGGTCGACACGAATATTCATAATAAGCATATTTATTGTGTCAAATATATGACGGTCTATCTGTATTCTGTGGAATGATTTTTAATATCTGAATTTAAAATCATACTTAAGAATTTGTATTTAAAGGACTCCACTGAGGTTTAAAAGCCTAAAAACATAACATTTGAATTTCTTATATAAATGAGCTGGGATAAACAGAAATATATGCAAAGATAGTTAAGAAATATACTTTGAAATAAATTGAAAATCGTATTTCTATGCTTTTCTAAGCCCGATTTGATTGAAAAGCGTTTAAACGCTTTTTATTTTGGACATTTTATTACAATTTGAATAGTTAGTCTGGAAAAACGAAGTGCACGAATGATCAGAAATTTTGCACAAAGATTAGTGGTATAAACCCTACATCAAATGATACATTTATCTAGAAAAAAGACTCAGTGAAGTCTCTTTAATAAAAAAGTTTGTAAATTTCCTATAAAAAGCACACGCCACGTTCTCTTATAGAATATTTAATATATTCCTATATGATATGATGCATGTGGGAAAACACTGCGCAATAATATAACAATTTAAATATTTAAATCACGTGATTTAAGAGCTTTACATATGCACATTTGTAGTATCTTTCGCTATCTCAAGCTTAAAAAATTGCTCTGTAAATTGACATTAATTTATTATTAGAGTGTGCATGCAGTAACGTTAAAAACATCTGTAGATTTATTCATTTGGTTGTACCAATTAACTCGATAAACTATCATTTTCTGACAAAAATATTTTAATATACCCAAAGTACCAAATATATAAATATCAAATCGATAAACATTATAAATATTTTTTTCTTAAAGTAACAAAAAAACATACCTGCTCCATTCGCAGCCCCATCTGCAATATAGAATAACGCTGGTTTCGAGCAGAAAAAAGAATATGTACGGTGCAAAGATGCCATAGAATCTAACATCAACGGTTTTCGCGACTATCAATATCGCCACAACACAATGTGTCAACAGCAAAAGTCGTGTTAGAATGGCGCGAAATATCTTTCTATATTTATGAAAGTCTGACCGAAATATCAAACTGTCTAATGATATTTTTTGTTTGACTCCATTTAAAGTGACCGTTTTACGCACCATTGTCTTTCTATATCATCAACTGTCACATCAATTTATAAATGTTCAATATATTATTATAAATTCTTTCTATATATATGTATAACTACTAATTACAGGAAACTGATCTCTTCATCTTACAATTACTCACTTCACATTTGGGAAGACGTCTTCCCAGCTGGCAAATATCACGTGATCTGAACACTAAAGAAAGCCAAATCCTTTAAAGGATATGTTAGTCATTTCTCAAGTACTTTTCTATGTACTCTAATAAATTTGACAGCAGCAATTGCTAAATGCGTAAAATCAAATTTGAATAAAAATTCATTCATTTATTATTGATTGATTGATTGATTGATTGATTGATTGATTGATTGATTGATTGATTGATTGATATTTTATCAATGTTTTGTTTGTTCATTATTGTTTGTGTTTTTTTTTAAATAATTAAATTAAAGTCAAGACATTATTTCTAAAGTTAGTTTGTTTATATTATCTTCAACCATACAAGTTTTCATATCAACTTCTGTTCAAATTATCTTTCTATGACCTTTGTCTTACTGAATATTGATTTGTTTCACGGTTTGAACATGCGCTATGGCCTATACAGATCAAACGTCGGATATTAGTCGAGATGTTCCATTTGATTTCCCATCACTAAACTTGATGTGAGACTTTGACCCTTTATTGCGTTTGAATAACGGAAATAATCGAGTTGATGAATGTCAATGATGCAATCTAGTATTTGTGCATTTCATTTTACAAGAAAAATTGTTTTTGTAAAGACGTAGGTGGTCCTTTGACGTCAACTCTGCGCATGCGTAACATCGGCCGAGACGCTTTCTCTCCTGATTCAAATGCTTTTTACTGGTACAATGGCAGGTAGTTGCAGAAATTTTATTATTTTCATCTAAGGTGGATACATCTGGCATTTTCCATTATTTAAAATACATTGTATTTATGGAATGCATTTGAGAATCTGAAACGGATTTTGACATTGCGTTTATCAGATAACTCTTCCGAATACAAAAAAGGTATAAAATTTTGGTGCAAAGTTTAGAAAAAAGACGATAATCAAAAAAAGATTAACATTTTATTAAAGTTTAATAAAGCCCGTAAACATTTCTTAATAAAAAAACTAACAGAAAATAAAAAGTTCACTAAAGATTACAAACAACAAAAATGATTTCAGACAATTATTATTAGGATTTCTAGAACACAAATTCCACTCTGTTATAATGAAAACAAGAAAAATATATTTCAAGATTTTCTTTGCAATATAGTATATTCAGATTCATAGAGGCGTTTTACATAACTTTGAACTATTTTGTATAGTGTCGTCCAAACAGAAAATATAAGTGCATTTTGCTGTTTTTTATAAGTGTTATAAGTCTACAATGTACCATGTTTTGAACTCTAATAATATACCGGATTTCTCAAATGCATTGTTACATTACAACAGTATTGTTTCAATGAAAACATTTATAATTTATTGATATATATACGAATGTATTGTTATGATTATAGAATGAATTAATCATCAGTTATGTTTATTTCCGGTATTTTTATTTGCTACATGTATAAATAGAAGAAGTCATTTCAGGGGCATACAGTAATATCTGAAGTGTTGACTTGAATAATTTTTATTTGAGCATCATATTGAATGGTAAGTACATGTATTATGTATATTTATAATCATAATCGCTAACATTAATAGATCTATCATTTACTCCATCTCACATATTTCTATATATATAAACGATGACTGCAACTGAAAACTACGGTGTCCCGTTTGGGTCATTGTGACACACACATAACTCGAAAAACGCAAACATAAATTTTCACCATTTTCATGTTTGAACGTTGAATTCTGCTTAAGCCGGTGCTAGGGGGCATGAACGGTAGTTTCCACTTGGCAGCACAGGCCATAAACAGGCTCAATCATAACAAGGCCGTGCGTCTGCTACACTATTCTCCAACTAACCAGGGGAAGTAACCGTTGCTGGAGTTTGCGGATACACTGCAAACTTTTCGCAGCGGTTACTTCCTCTGACAAGTACAGAAAAGTTAGATTGGTGAAACGCACTAATTAAGAGAGCCAGTTGTAGATCGTTAAATTAATATGCAGGTCTTAGAGAGGTAGATGGATTTTAACTAGTGTTATATCCTTTAAATATTAATAACAGTAGGAGACAGTATCTTTAACTAATACTAGGAGCTATAGACGACTCCATGCGGAAAAACAGAAGCTTACACTATTCTGTAATGTAATGCAATATTTAATGTTATGTAATATAATAGTTCATTACATAAGAAGGATACAGCGGTCCATTATCAAAGTTATTGCCGATTGATTGACAAATGTTATTAGCTCCAGGTCCACTGAAATAAAATAATAAAAAAATGTTTATTACTAACGAATGTGAAAGAAATGTTTCATGTGTTTGACTATCGGCATATTTTGCAAAAATATTTGGATCACTTATTCTTATTTAAATCACAGTAAACGAAGGATGGAGTTCTTATGATAACTTGTCAGGAGTTCTTGTGATAACTTTTACGGAGTTCGTCGGGAAACTTTTGTATAAACAACAAAAACACTCGTCATAAATGGTTGTATTATATGTCAAAACACAAAATATTTTTTCACCATTTGCGGAATTGGATATGATATTATATAATATATTTACAATTTATTACCACTCAGTATTATAGGGTAAATGCAAGTTTTTCCGTGTTATAACGTCTGCAGAATCCCGAGGAACAGTTGGTGTCGAGCCTGCAGACTTTAATAACAGGAGCGCATGACTCATTATGGCAAATTGTCGTACTTTTTTTACCGGCGCTGAATAATGTATTGCGCATTGGTAAAAGCGGGCTATAACAAGAGCACGTGACTCTGTTAACACATGGTTTTGGTCCCGTTAAAACATGAACAAACGAGGGGAAAATAACCGATTTTATACTATGAATGATATGATACAATGTGTCTTGTGAAAAATAATACATTTTAGATCAACGAGACTTTATGAAAACACCTTGATTTTAACTATAAAAAAATGTTTTCTGCAATATTCACAGTCACGCATGACTTCTACTTCCGCTAGTGAGCTGTTTTGTATATTCTGTAAATTTATTTGGTTTACAAGAAGTTAATCTTCCTGAATGGTTTTGTTGTCAATTGTTGATAGAATGGAATAATTAAACGAATCATAAAGAGCTTAAGATAAAAAAAATGAACATCCGTTTACTTGATAGATAATTGTCCCCGTCTTGTATAACACATGTACAATGACGATGAAAGTCCATATCATAAATAACATATGAAAATGATGTAATAATGTGTGAATGTTTAAGTTTGAAAACACATTTAACAGTAACATTAGTTTAATGTTTCATTTGTGCTTTTACTGGTGTAGAACTCGAAGCGCTACCTCAATGGTAGAGCGTTTGAGGTTCCTGGCTCCGATTCTCGGCAGACTATAATGTAACTGGAGAATGGAGAATTGTTTAAGGGCCTGCCAATCCGGTGACTATCATTTCCATGATATTTCAATTGGCAATCACTATCATTTTGTAATTATGATAACATTCAAGTAGATATTATTAGATACTGTTCAACAGATTGTTCACGTAAAGCATTCAGAACTCAATCTTACTTTATTTATGAAACTGTTTGTATGAATTATGAAAGCGAAAACAAAACAACAACAAAACACATTAACAAGGCCAATGACCGATTTACATGTACATATATACAAGGAGTAGAAGGCTCCGGTATTTAAAATATTGTAAATAACACTTAACATGGGCACCAGTCCTAGTAAGCATTGATTTCGGTAGCAAGGTTGGCCCAGAACGTTGTCCTGTCCTGCTGATCCACTGGGTACTCCAGGGATCGTTCATTGTGTAGAAACTTCATCAAGCCAATAGGCACAGAGTTCATTGGTATCTGTTCCATCAGAACAATTACAATCAGTTGTCTATTTGTCTCAATCGACTCCTGTCTTGCCATGTTCATTTCATAGTCACACCACGAATCTAACAGATATTCTCTGTTTATCAATAGTACAGATTTTCTGCTGTTATAGATGGCGTGACTGATATTCTCGGCTACTGATGCACCTGCTAATGCGTTCCTGTCTGCAACCCAAAGGTGTAGATTATGCTCAGTCTCGAGTTTCGGAACCATTTCGTTCTTAATAAAGCTTGCATTGTTCTTCGCATAGGATACAAATGCATCGTTCTCGAACAGGTGCTCGAAGCCCTCGTGCACATGCCGTCTGTTCCGGCTGTAGTATATATACCGAAGCTTCCATCGGTTTCTATACATAAGGCAACCAGCAATTAGTGTTAGAATACCAACAAAGACACTGCAAGACGCACTTATTGTCCATGTTATCCAACTTTTATCACGACAAATATCATTTTCAAGTTTATGCACAAGCTCGTCAACACGCTCATATATATAAGACGGGTATGGATAACTTTCACCGTCCAGGCGACACACATCTTTTTCTTTAAAGAGAATTTCGACCTTTGTTTTAAGCATCCATTTTAGAAATGGCAAATGTTTGCAATCACATTCGATCGGGTTTGAGTAAAGCATAATTTTAACTGTTACATTTTTGTTACAGTCTTCGTCTGCTATAGCGTCTAATTGCAGCCTCAATCTCTCTGGGAGACTATATATTTTATTGCTGGACAAATCCAAACTACGAAGGCAGCGAATGTTATCTAAAGAAATGTTACAGCCACAAATATTATTGTCACTCAAGTTCAAATACATCAGATTCGATAAGTTCGAGAATAAATCTTGTGGGAGGTTATAAATTTTGTTATAAGACATGTCCAAATGCGTCAAATTCTTCAAGTTCTGGAATATTTTGCTTGCATTTTCGTTTAACTGGAGATCGAAAACGGGCCCTAAATTGTTCGTAGAAATATTTAAATGTTTCAAAGACTTGAAGTTTAGAAAGAACTCAGGTGTAACAGCGTCGCAAATGTTGTCAGATAGGTCAAGATGTTTTATGTTCTCTACACCAAAAATGACTGCCGTCCAACGAGAGATGAGATTGAAGGATAAGTCTAGACGTTTTAAGCCTGCTGCCCCACAAATAGCAAAAGGAGTATCGATGTGTAAGTAAATCATACTTTTCCGCCATTTTATACTGCTTATACTTTTAGGTAAACAAACGACACATATACCTGGGCAATCTGCATTTATCTGTAGGTTGGTAAAGTCCGTATTCATTAATTGAGAAATATTCATACTGTTAAAATATCGAGGTCCTTCGTAGTGTTTGTTGAAAAATGGGTCGTAGTTTAAATGTTGCCTTGATAAGTCCAAATATTTGATTCCCTCTGCACGATGGATATATTTTTGAAATTTTCCATGTGTTAGCCGGTTTCCAGATAATGTTAAATGTCTGAGAGTCGCTGGTAACTGATAACTCGGATTAAATATTTTTTCATCAAAAACTTCTATCTTGTTTAAATCCATATGCAATTTCTCCAAGGTACGAAGTGTTTTAAGATACTGTATATCAGACAGTTTTAGTTTTATACCAATTTCAAACAGCTTATGAATTCTGTTAACATTTAATTCTTTCAACGTTGTAGAGTTCTGTAAACCGTACAAAGCATTGTTCATACCAGAGAAAGTAAGTTTCTCGTTGTAGGAGATATCCAAAAGTGATAGATTACCAAAGAAGCTGAACGCTGCTTTATCTATTGTTTCAATATAGCACGACGACATGAATAACTTTTCAACAAATGGAACATATCTAAAAGTTTCATTTCCAATGTGCGGCGCATTGCATGCGTGTTTGGATCTTCCGATTAAACTTAGAGTTTTTAAAGACGTTAACGTGCTAAAATTGTATCCAAACTCACAAGTTGAACATAAATCTATATATAAACCCTCTAGAGTTGTCACATGCTGAAGCTCATTTCCGACACAGTCAAAAGAATAAAAGTTGTTTTCCTTCAAGTTTATGTTTTTCAAATTTTTAAGAGGTTTGAACACTCCGACACCAAAGCTTTCTGGTTGATATAACTTATTACCAGTTAAGTTGAGGTACAGCAAATTGGTGAGATTTGTAAAAGCCTCTGAAGCAATAAAGGAAACATTACTGTATTCTAGATACAGCCATAATACATCTGTAGTGTTCAGATTCTTCACATTCACAAAGGAATTATTTTCTACCTTAGTGAAAATGTTGAACCCGAGATCCAACAAGCAAAGTGGCGGAGGAAACTTTGTCATATTGTCTGGCTTAGGATAATGATTTGGAATTTGATTTAAATTCGTGTTATTGCATCGCATAGCATACCCCCTGTTTCCACACTCTTCATAGGATTTATTGTCCAAGTGTCCGATAGTGCAGTTCGCTTCTTGCATTGATTTTGAAACCGTCATTTGCGAACAAAGACACAGTGTTGCAAGTTGTAAGTACACAGTAAACTCCAATTTATTGTGTTGATTCTTCCTGAGAAACATCTGAAAGTATGTTAAATCAATGCACATGATTCACAGTAACAACATAAAAATGACAATACCATGTAATAATAATATTGTTTTGCTAAGATAATGAAATTACTAGTTTTATAAACGCTGAAAAGACGTTAACTTAAAAAGAAAAAGGTTCTTAGTACTTTTTTCAAAACAACCAAATAAGTAACAACATAAATTCCGTAAAGAGAATAATCCTCGAATAAAAGTCAATTACCTTTATTTGTGTTTATGATATCACAGTCAAAACAACCTCCAAACATATAACGATCACGCGGTGATTTAACTTCGTACATATAGTATAGGGTTAGTCAATGTGCAAAGTTCCCTTTTTATATAAAGATATATAATCTTCCGCTCGTTTGTTTTATTTGCATATATAAGCTTAAGTCAAAAATACATTAATTTCCGTGTTTAACATTTGATTAACGGAATAGAAATTTATAATCAGCTTCTTTACGACATTCAATGGGCTCGGATCATTTAACACAACTGAGATAAATTTACATACTTCAGTTGTGTAGTTCTTGTGTTGCTATTCTTAGATTGGGGAACCAAAATTTCCTTAAGTTAAAGCTTATTAAAATAATTATACAATTAAAGTCAGTTAACTTGTTCTTAATAGTCCTAGTTATTACAAATATTTCGAAATGAAAGGAGGGTTGGGAGAGGGAGAAATCATATGATAAAAAGTTACCATGTATTTTAAAGATGTCTGTAATATAATAACTTTACCTCTAGAAATTCAAGTTCATGGTTTAGGTCAGCCTTCAAAACATTTTCCCTTCCCGCGACACATGCCAGTTTGATTAGGGTATGTAAAATAAATTGATTTCGAAACGAATAGTGAATGCTTAGCATCTGTTTAAAGTAAAGAACCAAAGTGCAAGTAAAGAACCAAAATGCTTATAAGTTTTAAACATATATCTCAGTTTGTATATTTATAATTTAAAAACATGACACAGATATTAAAGATGCGATTCTCACTGACAGATTCCTTTAATAGTAAAAATGATTGGGGGTCAGTAGTAAAAAAGATCATCCTTGTTGCAAAATACGCCCGTCACAAAAGCTTTTGACAGAGATGTGGACATTATAGATATGTTTATAGGAGATATTATGCTCTGGGCAATATCCGGCTGATATCTTGATATTTAATCATCTCTATAGTGACCTTGATCCTGCAAATATTAACTTAAATTACATGTGTCACACTTGTAGTCATGATAGTTATCAGTTGTGTTACAATCCATCTATAAATGAGGACTAACTATGATCACAAATTATTACCTCTCTATGTGATCCTGACTTTGGTAGCAGGGACCTTGATTATGTGCCCCATAAGCCTCACAATGGTGAACATTTATGCCAAGTTACATTAAAATCCCACATAAATGTAGTAGTTCGGCCCTGAACAAGCGTTTTTCAATGTCCTCTAAGTGTGACCTTCACCTTTAACCTAGAGACCTGGTTCATGCACGTCACATTCTTCTCATTGTGATGAAGTTTCGATAGAATCCCACCATGCGTGGAGGAGATATGCTCAGGACAAAATTCTATATTTTATCATCTTTAGTGACCTTGGCCTTGCATATTTTAACCTTAAAATTAAACGTTTACACCAGTAATTATAATAATGTCCATTTGCCCATTTTGTTCAATCCCTCAATAAATAAGTTTCACACTGCCTCACAATGGTGAACATTTGTGCAAAGTTATATTGAAATCTCTATGCTCTCTGGACAAGTGCTTTTAATGACCTCTATGTGTGACCTTGACCTTTGACCTAGAGACTTGTTTCATGCGTGCGGTACGGCTTCTCATAGTAGTGAACACTTGTAGGAAGTTTTTTTTCTATGCATGTAGGAGATATGCTCCAGACAAAAATTGGACGCCGCCGGCATGTATTTTATTTGGAAATGAAATGTTTTAGGTAGCCGTTTTCATGAGAAGGTAGCGGAAGGGGAATCAAACAATTTTATTTTAAGACTTATTGTTTAGAGGTCACATATTCTTCTAAATTGCAATGAAATATTCCACTTATAGTATCATGTTATCTAAAGGTTATATGCTTAGTTAGCATGTTAAGAGTACCCTGCTAAACTTATTTTAAGAGGCGTTAGTAGCACACATTATCTATCTGCAACGAAAAAGAACCTGCAATATTTCCACTGTTATCGTGTTAAGCTGACGTGTAATAGGACTCAGAATATGTCACATGCGGAATATATGTATGTTGTGTGTTATTTCTTTTAAAGATTTTAGATGCAACCGTGTACTATATTACTTATTCAAATTGATAGTACAGTAGTTAAATGAAATCACTGTACCCTTTCATGTGAGCCTATACAATTCAATATGTACCTTGTACGTTACACCATCATACTTTAGGTCATATGGCGACTTTCCAACTTCCCTGGTGGCGGAAGACCTCAGGTGCCCTTCCATACATTATTTTAGACATAACAGGCACCCGAGTAGTACCTGACGGGATTCGAACCTACTAAGGTGAGGTACAAGGGGCTTGAAGTCAACAACCTTAACTGCTAAACCACAGAAGCCTCTTGCAATACAAAGTCGATGCCTATAAAATCACTAGCTGTCACGCCATGTGCAGTCATTTTGTTGAAAAATTGCGGATGGGATGTCATTTTCGGTAAGTGTGCTAGCAACTCAAAACTATGACACTTGATTTTTGGGAAAATCAAAAAATCATACCCATCGTAAAGTTGAAGGCATAACACATGTTTGATTTTTTCACATCATTTATTCAAATCGCAAATGTTCGTGCTAAAAAATACCGGTATTAGACAAAAACAAATACACAACATGTACTTTCTTATCGTGACCTTTAGAGGAAGTAGGAAACCTGTGTACACTTATTCTAACAAGTGTTATAAAAAATAGTTTGTTATTTATATCATATATAAATCAACTGTATTATAGATCACTGTACTGACAATGATTACTCATTACATATTTCTCATAAATCTAGACAACAGATAAATAACAAAGCTATAAATTAACCTTGATCCTGCTGGTACCAAAACTGATGGGCCTTTACCACTAGTATATAGCCAGGCAAATCTGTATGTCTGTACAGTAAGACAAGGCTCTCTTCTGTTGGTGGACTAGTCTAAATTTAAATTTTTACCACGAGTTTTCCCTATCAAAGACATATATTGCAGAAATATGTTTGTGCCATAACTGACAATGGACAGATCTAAAAATGAAAATGCTTAAGTCCATTTTACAATTTCAGTTTTGTTTGTTTGTTTGTTTCATTTTACGCCTTTTCCCCAACAGTATTTCAGTCATATAGGCGGGTAGTTTTCTAACCATCGTTCCTGGACAGTTTCACCAGTACTAGACTACCTTCCTCCGCGCTAAACTACCAAAGCATCTCCCGGGGATCGAACCCACGCCAGAGAGGTAATTGGATTAGAAGTCATATTGACTCTAACCCCTCGACCACGGAGGCGAATTTTACAATTTCAGTAGGTAAAGGGTAAATTGAATGAAACATAACAACCTTGAATGTTTCTGGCTTGCTAATAGTCAGACTGGCCTTCTATCGGCATATTTCGCCAAAATATTTGGATCACTTATTTTTATTCAAATCACAGTAAACGAAGGATGGAGTTCTTGTGATAACTTGTCGGGAGTTCTTGTGATGACTTTTACGGAGTCGTCGGAGAACTTGTGTATAAACTACAAAACACTCGTCATAAATGGTTGTACTATATGTCAAAAACACACACACACACACAAATATTTGTTCACCATTTGCGACATTGGATATGATATAATATATTTACAATTTATTACCACTAAGTAGTATAGGGTTAATGCACGTTTTTTTCGTGTTATAAAGTCTTCAGAGTCCCGAGGAACAGTTGGTGCCCGAACCCGCTAGTTATAATAGTTACGAGGGACTGTGCAGACTTTAATAACAGGTCTGGAGCTGAAACTGGCAAATTGGTCAAATCGGCACGTACATTTCTTTTGTTTACCGGCCTTGTATAATGTATTGCGCACAGTAAAAGCGGACTATAACAAGAGCGCGTGCCTCTGTAAACACATGGTTATAGTCCCGTTAAAACATAGGCAAAAGCGGGGAAAATAGCCGATTTTATGCTATAAATGGAATAATACAATTTGTTTTGTGAAAAATAATACATTTTAGAAAAATAATACATTTTAGATCAACGAGATTTTATGAAAACACCTAAATTTAACTATGCAGTATTCACAGTCGTGTATGAATTCTACTTCCGCTAGTGAGCTGTTTTGTGTATGTTGAAAATTTATTTGGTCTACACGAACAAGAAGTAAATTTTCCTGAATCGTTTTGTTGTCAATTGTTGATACAATGGAATAATTAAACGAATCATAAAGAGATGAAGTTAAAGAAAACGTACATCCGTTTACGTGATAGATAATTGTCCCCGTCATGTATAACACATGTACAATGACGATGAAAATGATGTAATAATGTGTGAATGTTTGAGTTTGAAAACAAATTTAACAGTAACATTAATTTAATTTTACTGATGTAGGATTCGCAGCGGTACCTCAATGGTAGAGCGTTTGAGGGTCCTGGCTTCGATTCCTGGCAGACTATTATGTAAAAAGAGAATGGAGAATTGTTTAAGGACCTGTCAATCCGGCGGCTTATCATTTCCATGATATTTCAAATGGCAATCACTATCATTTTGTCATGATGATAACATTGAAGTAGATGTTATTAGATATTGTTCAACAGATTGTTCACGTAAAGCATTCAGAACTCAATCTTACTTTATTAATGAAACTGTTTGTATGAATTATGAAAGCGAAAACAAAACAACAAAAAACACCTAAACAAGACCAATCACCGATATACAATGTATATATATATATATACAAGGAGTAGAAGGCTCCGTATAATTTTGTAAATAACACTTAACATGGGCACCAGTCCTAGTAAGCATTGATTTCGGAAGCAAGGTTGGCCCAGAACGTGCTTCTGTCCTGCTGATCCACTGGGTACTCCAGGGACCGTTCATGGTGTAGAAACTTCATCAAGCCAATAGGCACAGAGTTCATTGGTATCTGTTCCATCAGAACAATTACAATCAGTTGTCTATTTGTCTCAATCGACTCCTGTCTTGCCATGTTCATTTCATAGTCACACCACGAATCTAACAGATATTCTCTGTTTATCAATAGTACTGATTTTCTGCTGTTATAGATGGCGTGACTGATATTCTCGGCTACTGATGCACCTGCTAATGCGTTCCTGTCTGCAACCCAAAGGTGTAGATTATGTTCAGTCTCGAGTTTCGGAACCATTTCGTTCTTAATAAAGCTTGCATTGTTCTTCGCATAGGATACAAATGCATCGTTCTCGAACAGGTGCTCGAAGCCCTCGTGCACATGCCGTCTGTTCCGGCTGTAGTATATATACCGAAGCTTCCATCGGTTTCTATACATAAGAAAACCGGCAATTAATGTTAGAATACCAACAAAGACACTGCAAGACGCACTTATTGTCCATGTTATCCAACTTTTATCGCGACAAATATCATTTTCAAGTTTATGCACAAGCTCGTCAACACGCTCATAAGACGGGTATGGATAACTTTCGCCGTCCAGGCGACAAACATCTTTTTCTTTAAAGAGAATTGCGACCTTTGTTTTAAGCATCCATTTAAGAAATGGCAAATGTTTACAATCACATTCGATTGGGTTTGAGTAAAGCATAACTTTAACTGTTACATTTTTGTTACAGTCTTCGTCTGCTATAGCGTCTAATTGCCACCTCAATCTCTCTGGGAGACTATATATTTTATTGCTGGACAAATCCAAACTACGAAGGCAGCGAATGTTATCTAAAGAAATGTTACAGCCACAAATATTATTGTCACTCAAGTTCAAATACATCAGATTCGATAAGTTCGAGAATAAATCTTGTGGGAGGTTATAAATTTTGTTATAAGACATGTCCAAACGCGTCAAATTCTTCAAGTTCTGGAATATTTTGCTTGCATTTTCGTTTAACTGGAGATCGAAAACAGGCCCTAAATTGTTCGTAGAAATATTCAAATGTTTCAAAGACTTGAAGTTTAGAAAGAACTCAGGTGTAACAGCGTCGCAAATGTTGTCAGATAGGTCAAGATGTTTTATGTTCTCTACACCAAAAATGACTGCCGTCCAACGAGAGATGAGATTGAAGGATAAGTCTAGACGTTTTAAGCCTGCTGCCCCACAAATAGCAAAAGGAGTATCGATGTGTAAGTAAATCATACTTTTCCGCCATTTTATACTGCTTATACTTTTAGGTAAACAAACGACACATATACCTGGGCAATCTGCATTTATCTGTAGGTTGGTAAAGTCCGTATTCATTAATTGAGAAATATTCATACTGTTAAAATATCGAGGTCCTTCGTAGTGTTTGTTGAAAAATGGGTCGTAGTTCAAATGTTGCCTTGATATGTCCAGATATTTGATTCCCACTGCACGATGGAGATATTTTTCGAATTTTCCAGCTGTTAGCCGGTTTCCAGATAATGTTAAATGTCTGAGAGTCGCTGGTAACTGATAACTCGGATTAAATATTTTTTCATCAAAAACTTCTATCTTGTTTAAATCCATATGCAATTTCTCCAAGGCACGAAGTGTTTTAAGATACTGTATATCTGACAGTTTTAGTTTTATACCAATTTCAAACAGCTTATGTATTCTGTTGACATTTAATTCTTCCAACGTTGTAGAGTTCTGTAAACCGTACAAAGCATTGTTCATACCAGAGAAAGTAAGTTTCTCGTTGTAGGAGATATCCAAAAGTGATAGATTACCAAAGAAGCTGAACGCTGCTTTATCTATTGTTTCAATATAGCACGACGCCATGAATAACTTTTCAACAAATGGAACATATCTAAAAGTTTCATTTCTAATGTGCGGCGCATTGCATGCGCGTTCAGATCTTCCGGTTAAACTTAGAGTTTTTAAAGACGTTAACTTACTAAAATTGTATCCAAACTCACAAGTTGAACATAAATCTATATATAAACCCTCTAGAGTTTTGACATGCTGAAGCTCATTTCCGACACAGTCAAAAGAAAAAAAGTTGATTTCCTTCAAGTTTATGTTTTTCAAACTTTTAAGAGGTTTGAACACTCCGACACCAAAGCTTTCTGGTTGATATAACCTATTACCAGTTAAGTTGAGGTACAGCAAATTGGTGAGATTTGTAAAAGCATCTGAAGCAATAAAGGCAACATTATTGTATTCTAAATACAGCCATAATACATCTGTACTGTTCAGGTTCTTCACATTCACAAAGGAATTATTTTCTATCTTAGTGAAAATGTTGAAGCCGAGATCCAACAAGCAAAGTGGCGGAGGAAACTTTGTCATATTGTCTGGCTTGGGATAATCTTTTGGAATTTGATTTAAATTCGTCTTATTGCATCGCATAGCATACCCCCTGTTTCCACACTCTTCATAGGATTTATTGTCCAAATGTCCGATAGTGCAGTTCACCTCTTGCATTGATTTTGCAAACGTCATTTGAAAACAAAGACAAAGTGTTGCAAGTTGTAAGTACACAATAAACTCCATTTTATTGTGTTGATTCTTCCTGAGAAATATCTGAAAGTATGTTAAAACAATGCACATGATTCACAGTAACAACATAAAAATGACAATACCATGTAATAATAATAATATTTTGCTAAAATAATGCAATTTTATAAACGCTGAAAAGACGTTAACTTAGAAAGAAGAAAGTCCTTAGTATTTTTTTTCAAAAAAAACAAAAACAAATAAGTAACAACATAAATTACGTAAAGAGAATATTCTTCGAATAAAAGTCAATTACCTTTATTTGTGTTTATGATATCACAGTCAAAACAACCTCCAAAAATATAACGATCACGGTGATTTAACTTCCTTCATATACTATAGGGTTAGTCAATGTGCAAAGTTCTCTTTTTATATAAAAATATATAGAATAATCTTCCGTTCGTATGTTTTATTTGCATTATATAGGCTTAAGTCAAAAATACATTAACTTCCGTGTTTAACATTTGATTTACGGAATAGAAATTTATAATAAGTTTCTTTACGACATTCACTGGGCTCGGATCATTTAACACAATTGAGATAAATTTACATACTTCAGTTGTGTAGTCCTTAGGTTGCTATTCTTAGATTGGGGAACCAAAATTTACCCAAGTTAAACCTTATTGAAATATTTACAATTAAAGTCAGTTAACTTGTTCTTAATAGTCCTAGTTATTACAAATATTTCGAAATGAAAGGAGGGTTGGGAGAGGGGAGAAATCATATGATAAAAAGTTACCATGTATTCTAAAGATGTCTGTAATAAAATGACTTTACCTCTAGAAATTCAAGTTCATGGTTTAGGTCAGCCTTAAAAGCATTTTCCCTTCCCGCGACACATGTCAGTTTGAATAGGGTATGTAAAATAAATTGTTTTCGAAACGAATAGTGAATGCTTAGCATCTGTTTAAAGTAAAGAACCAAAGTGTTTATAAGTTTTAAACATATATCTCAGTTTGTATATTTATAATTTAAAAACATGACACAGATATTAAAGATGCGATTCTCACTGACAGATTCCTTTAATAGTAAAAATGATGGGGGTCAGTAGTAAAAAAGGTCATCATTGTTGCAAAACAGGCCCGTCACAAAAGCTTTTGACAGAGATGTGGACTTTATAGATATGTTTATGGGAGATATTATGCTCTTGATATCTTGATATTTTATCATCTCTATAGTGACCTTGATCCTGCAAATATTAAGCTAAATTACATTTGTCACACTTGTAGTCATGATAGTTATCATTTGTGTTACAATCCATCTATAAATGAGTACTAATTATGGTCACAAATTGTTACCTCTCTATGTGATTCTGAATTTGGTAGCAGGCACCTTGATCATGTGCCCCATAAGCCTCACAATGGTGAACATTTATGCCAAGTTACATTAGAATCCCCCATAAATGTAGTACATGTAGTTCGGCCCTGAACAAGCGTTTTCCAATTACCTTTAAGTGTGACCTAACCTTTAACCTTAAAATTAAACTTTCACACTAGTGATTATAATAATGTCCATTTGTGTCCATCCCTCAATAAATAAGTTTCACACTGCCTCACAAGGGTGAACATTTGTGCTAAGTTACATTGAAATCTCTATGCGCTCTGCTATGTGCTTTTCATGACCTCTATGTATGACCTTGACCTTTGACCTAGAGACCTGCTTCATGCGTGAACATTTGTATGAAGATTCATTTATATTCTTCCATGCATGTAGGAGATATGCTCAAGGCAAAAATTGGACACCGTCTGCCCAGCCGCTCGCCGGGGGTGGGGGGCTATTATACGACCTGCTTTTCAACGTACATGTATATTAAATAAATATGTATTTTATTTGGAAATGAAATGTTTTAGGTAGCCGTTTTCATGAGAAGGTAGCGGAAGGGGAAACAAACAATTTCATTTTAAGCTTTATTGTTTAGGGGTCACATATTCTTGTAAATTGCAATGAAATATTGTACTTATAGTATCATGTCATCTAAAGGTTATATGCTTATTTTGCATGTTTAGAGTACCCTGCTAAACTTATTTAAGAGACGTTGGTAGTACACAGTATTTATCTTCAACGAATATGCAATATTTTCACTGCTGTCGTGTTAAGCTGATGTGTAATAGGACTCAGAATATGTCACATGCGGAATATATATGTATGTGGTGTGTTATTTCTTTTAAAGATTTTAGATGCAACCGTGTACTATATTACTTATTCAAATTGATATTACAGTACTTAAATGAAATCACTGTACCCTTTCCTGTGAGCCTATACAATTCAATATGTACCTTGTACGTTACACATCATACTATAGGTCAAATGGCGACTTTCCAACTCAGATGCCCTTCCATACATTGTTTCAGACACAAACAGGCACCCGAGTAGTCCCTGACGGGATTCGAACCTACAAAGGTGAGGGACAAGTGGTTTGAAGTCAACAACCTTAACTGCTAGGCCACAGAGTCCCCTTGCAATACAAAGTCGATGCATATGCAGCAATACAAAGTCGATGCCTATAAAATCACTGGCTGTCACGCCATGTGTAGTCATTTTGTTGTAAAATTTCCGAATGTCATTTTCGGTAGGTGTGCAAGCAACTCAAAACTATGACACTTGAACCGCTGTTTGATTGTTGTTGTAAAAATCATAAAAATCATGCCCATGTAAAGTTGAAGACAGAAAACATGATAATTTTTTTTCATACAATTTATTCAAATCGAAAATGTTCCTGCTAAAAAATATTAGACAAAAACAAATACACATGTACCTTTTTTATCATGACCTTTTAGAGGATACTAGTAAAACTGTGTACACTTATTCAAACAAGTGTTATCAATAAATAGTTTGTTATTTATATCATATCATCTGTATCATAGATCACCATGTGCTCACAATGGTATTAAAATCATATTAACAGTTCATTACTCATTACATATAACAACAGATAAATAACACAGCTATAAATAAACCTTGATCCAGCTGGTAGCAAAACTGATGGGCCTTTACCACTAGTATATAGCCAGGCCAATCTGTATGTCTGTACGGTAAGACAAGGCTCTCTTCTGTTGGTGGATTAGTCTAAATTTAAATTTTTACCACGAGTTTTCCCTAATCAAAGACATATATTGCAGAAATAGTTCTGAGCCATAACTGACAATGAACAGATCTAAAAATAAAAATTCTTAAGTCCATTTTACAATTTCAGTAGGTAAAGGTTAAATTGAATGAAACATAACAACCTTGAAGGTTTCTGGCTTGGTAATAGTAAGGCTGGCCTTCAAATTTATTCAGGCTGGCATAGCACACTTTATCCTTTTGACTGCTCCAATTTTAATACTATTTTCATATAAAAATCCCTAAAACATACAGTAGACTGTCCCAAATTCAAACTTTGGCAAGGTGTATCATTATTATATAAACAAGCTACATTAAACTTCTTCTGTTCTCCTGCATTATTAAAACATGTGAAACCTTTATTTCCTGGTTAACACAAACCCGCAAAACCTTTATATCCAGGTTAAAGAATTAAAGTTTCACTGCAAGTGAAATTATCTGTAACACAGGGTGGTTTCAAAGATTGCTTTTGTTAACTGCCCTTAACAATGTTTACAAACACTTGACTGGATGTTTGTGGTTTGATAATTATGTGCTGCTTGTTTCACGCTTGTAGAGTACTTTCCATGTCATATGTAAACACTATTTCATTTATGATATCCTTTATTTCATTTAATGATATATCTTCCTTAAACACCTGAAAAGGAAAATAATAGGAGATGGAAAGATAAGTATAACAAATGCTATTTATATACAAGTGTAAAATAATGTTTGTGAGATAGATACTACAAAGCCTACAATGGTATTTTAACTGATATCTTAGAGCTTTGTTATTAAAACTTAACTTGCTAAAAACTATGAATAATATTTTAACAGATATCTTAAGATTTTTTGTGTGCATGTTTAACCACATCAGTTCCTCGTCATATTATAATTTACTGTATAAATGGTTAATTTAGCGATGTTGAAATATTTGCGATTTTTGCGAATTGAAATTACATATGTATTCGCAAATATTTGATCACGCATAAATTATTTCTTTTTAGGCGAACTTTCTGCTATCATTTGAAAACACCTTTTCATATAGCATCATACATGAATAAGTTTGACTATTCGGGTACTGAGATTAATTTTTCTCATTGCCTGTTTGTTTAAGTTTGGTCTTAACAAAGCACAAAGGTATTACACAACTGAATAGAACAACTACAATAACAATGTAACTGCTTAATTAATGATGTCACAAAAAGAGTATTACACTCAAGAAATCATATTTTCGCAAATATTTCCGCATGCTAAAAGTCCACTTTATGACATTCGCAAAATTTTTGTGACGCATAAATATCCACTTATACAGTAATTTCCTCCAAGTCTGTTAATTGAAGGTAATATATTTAATAAATTTTAGGCTGGTCAAATTATATGTTACAAAAAAAGTGTATGCTATATTATGAAAAGATTACCTTCCACCATGGGGAATCTGCTACTCTGTTATATGGTACCTCTACACCATGGCTGAAAAGGGCCATATATATCACAGCAATAGCAATGTGTTGAGGCTTGTACCTCAAAGCTAGAGGTGAGTGGTATGAATCTCTCAGCAGTGCCCAGCAGGTGCGGGACAGAGGTACTGACTGCCATGTGAAAGGATCAAACCAATCTTCCAGGTATTTAAGGTAGTGTAACAAAAACTGAAGGAAAATAAAAATCAAATTTTTCAAATACAACATTTACATCATAAAAGTAAATTTGAAATAAATCTAAAACAGCATGAATCCTAAATAACCACACACAGCTTTTGAAATATCAACATCAAGCTTCAAAGCATTAAAACTGATGTACCAATCCATGTAATTTTTACAGAAGTGACAATTCGTTACAAAAATGCCCATCACAAATGCTCCATCTCATAATATTGAACATTTGTCACACAATTCGTTATGATGTTTTAGAATATATGATTTAACAATCCCTCACTGTACTTTGGACACATGTTTTTCCTTGACCTGTATGTTTGACCTTAACCTTTGACCAACAGACATCCATAAGGTGTGAAACACTATGTGTCAAGTAATACTAGGATCCTCCATGCACGTTGACGTATGCTCCGAACAAAATTTTCACATTTAATTTTCTCTCGTAACTTACTTATATTGACCTGAAAAAAGCTGGCTTGAGATTATACACAGTCTCATGATCGTTAACATTTGTAATATAATCCCTAAATTCAAGACTTAAAAATTGTCCTTACACTCATTTTCATTCATTTTAACTGACCATTAAGCTCTACGTTTGACCCTGACGTTGGCTAAAGGAACCTGGATTTTTGTGTGTAAAACTTTGGACCACACTGATGAACATTTGTACCAAATTTAATCAAAATCCCTATACATGTATGTAGAAGCTTTGCTCTGGACAAGGTTTTCCCTTGACCACTAAAGTGTGATCTTGACCTTTGACCTAACAACCAGGTTTATGAGTGTAACATTACATTGCACCTCTAATGGTGGAGATCATTTGTATCAAGTAATAATATAATCTATCCATGCATGTAGAAGATATGTCCTAGACAAAACTAGACGCTGTCTGTATTACAGCATTATTACTCAAGTTAGAAATATTTAAGGGAAACTTAAATAGCATGAAAGACCACTAGTGATGAAAAAAAATCTATTTTTATGAAATAACATGAAATTGTTACCTAGGTTACCAATTATTATGAAATAAAATGAAGTAATAACTGAAATTACCAAGTATTAAGAAATAACATGAAATCATAACCCAAGTTGCCCACTATTATTAAATAACATGAAATCATTACCTAAGTTACATAGTCACATAAAATATCATAACATCATTACATATATTAACCAGTTTTATGATAACATGAAATCACATGCAATAACATGAAATTATTACCTTATGTGGATGGTATACGACAGATTTGAAATGTAAACTTCTCAGTAAATGAAGCTCACAGTTGACCAGGGAATCTCTATAATGTTGAAATGTAGTGCCCATCTCTAATGCAGGTTTATCTCTGTTTAATGTTCTGTTAGTAGGAAATAATGAAAACATAGAAAATGACCTGTCAATATGACTTTAATGTTTAGTTTTCAGTCCCAAAGATCATAAACTACAATATAAATTCACACAATCATTATAAAGTATAGCCAATGAACTTTCAACATTTGCACCATGTGATGTCTCAACAGAAATCAATATTGGATCCAATCAATTTTACCCTCGTTTTCATTTCCAGAGTCCAAAAAGTCCATATTAAATGCATATCGTATCCCAAATAGCCTTCATATAATTTCAGAATCCAAATAGTCTATATCAAATATATATCATACTCCATCAAGCCTCATTTTCATTTGTGACCATTTCAAAATCAATATCAAATCCATATTGTTCTTGAAGTAACTTACAATTTCAATTCATCTGCAATTAATAAGTCAATTAAAGCCTAATTGTACATATTTACACTTATTTGTTACATGTATATACTGATTTTTAACAAATAATCCAGTTATGTATTACAAAGATTTTAATTAAAAACTGATCAAAGAGAAATCAAGACAACTGTAAAAGTAGGGCACAATGAAATACTGCTACATTTTGTTTCAACTATGATGTACATGTAACTTTGTAAGTACTTAGCAATTATTTTATTTGTACCTGTAAGTAACATTAACAACATCTCGAAGTTTAACATGCTCTTCTTCCTCTGTCTTACCACCAAGATACAAGCAAGTGGCGGCAATCAACTGAAACAATAATAAAATACAACATCTTGACATGATCTCTAACCCCTGTAGGTGGTAACTGCTACAAGTGCAGACAAGATCAACCAGCACATCCAAGCTGTTGGAACATGTTCTGCACTGTTTGCTTATTCATTCAGTACATATTTTGAAATATTCTGTAGGAATTGTAAATGGTTTTGTTGAATGTTCAGATTAAACAAGAGCGATCAGTGATCATATGTGTCGCCTCATGATGGCCAATTTCATGTTGGGACAAGTTTTGTGACAGACGGACAGTGCACAACTAGACTTGGTACAGATCAATCCTGTAAAGTTTCATTGAAATTGCATTAGTGGTATAAGAGAAGTAGTCCGGACAAACTTTAAAAATAAAAATTATTAAAGGGCCATAACTCTGACAAAAATCATTGAACCGGAAAATGCTGATAATATGCACAACTAGACTTGGTACTGATCATTCCTGTAAAGTTTGGATGAAATTGCACCAGTAGTTTATGAGGAGTAGTCCGGACAAGCTTTTGTGTATCTGGCAACACACAGAAAAAAACACCTTTTTATCAAAGGGCCATAACTCGGCCAAAAATCATTCAACCGGAAAACCCTTGCAATATGCGCAAGGACTTGAGCTACAGATCAATCCTGTAAAGTTTCATTGAAATTGCATTAGTGGTATAAGAGAAGTAGTCCGGACGAACTTTTAAAATAAAAATTATTAAAGGGCCATAACTCTGACAAAAATCATTGAACCAGAAAACAATATGACAATATGCACAACTAGACTTGGTACTGATCATTCCTGTAAAGTTTGGATGAAATTGCACCAGTAGTTTATGAGGAGTAGTCCGGACAAGTTTTGTGACGGACGGACAGACGGATAGACAGACAGACGACGGAGAAGTGATCCCTATATGTAGCCACTACTCCGTAGAGGCGACACAAAAATGGGCAAGTCCATTTAAGATACATGTATTTAGAGGGGAATCGATTAATTATACAAGTGAAACAATCAAACAGTTTACCTCATTACAAATAACAGTCTATAAAATTTCTTAAAGACATGCATCTAAGACCTATAAAAAATGTGTTGCATTCTTTATAATACATGTATATAAAAAATATTTCTACTTGTATACTGTATACAAAATATTTCTACTTGTCATCATGTTTTGTACAATTTTACAATGCTTTATATTAAGAGACATTTAAGAAATAAATTAAACACTCTCAAGGATACAAAGTACAGTACATAAACTAATTGATGGAAAAAATCTTACATATGGATCATAATCATCAACTTTGTTTTCTCTGAAGAATCTATGATACAGTACACACGCTGATGCCAATGATATTGTTTTCATTCGAAGCTTTAAACCTGAAAATATATTAATCTTGCAGATTAAAAATAGGGTCATAATTGCATATTGCGAAATATAAATAATTATCTTATATAATGTAAAGTCTTAAACAATATGGATATAAATAGTGGGGGGAAAAAATTAAGCTATGCATTTTCCGATTTACATTGTCATTATTTATAAGTAAAACAAATATAATAATTAAGGAAAAATATCTACTGGTTTCACCTGTTAAAGGAATCTTTAAGATAATGACATTAATAACATTGCTTGGTAAAGACTGGATAAAGGGACGTCAATGGGACATAATAATAATTTTCAATAAAATATAATACAGAAAAAAAAATTTTTTTGTTTAAATTCAATTCTGGTTTCAAAACATTTATTAACACAGTTCCATTCATTTTATTGATTGCCATTATATCAAATTTCAGAATAATAATTAATATCTCTTCCACACATGGAAATTATCGACTGGCTAGTAAAAATGCATTGTCTGAATTTCGTATATGTAAATCTGAAGTTTCTCCAAGCATCCTAAAAACATTTTAATTTAGGTTATTTATTAAACAATGTAGATACTGATGGAATTTTATATTTTGTATCCAGTTTAAACTTCATACAAATATTTTTTTCTACATAAAGTCCAAAAAGATGACCTACAGTGCACTGAGCATTGTTTTAATTAGACCTTAAGTGCACTCATTTTATCATTCTATTTATAGCGCAAAAAATGTAGAATGTCTTGTTTTCAATGAAACTATTTCATATCCTGGAAGGAAATGACTAGCTGTATGAGCCCATTCTCTCTCTTTTTTTTTTTGCTATATCCCGGTATAGAGCCCAGAGTCAAAACACATATAAAGGTTCATCAGTTTGATATATTTGATATAAAAGTTTAACTCCTAAAAATTATAGTGGTGTCTAATCTGGGAGATTGCCATTTTTATAGCGAGCTTGAAGAGCTGGCCCGAAGGGCCTGCTCGCAAAGCCAGTTTTATGGTAACATGAGTGCCTGCTAGATAGGGTTGGTTTTGAAAACTTTTGTCCGAAGTACTGAATTGACACATTGCAACTTTTCGAATGGCAAGATTACCTTTATATAAAAGCTGAGGTATTCTGATTGAAAACGGAAGCATAGACTGGTGTCCTGCGAACTTATATTGGAACCACAGGGAACCAGAATAATCGGTAGCAGTGTATAAAATACCAAATGACAATTTTAAAACAGAAAATGTTAAATAAAAATGAACGATTATTGTATACTTTTTCATGGTAAAGTAAATCGAGCTCGCTTGGAGGCTTTGCCTTTTTCATATTAACATATGTAAGGATTTTGCACTAAGCACTGGTCAAACCACTACAGTTTTCGACTGGCATAAGTCATTGCATGGGTGTTTATATCAGACGTTTATTTACGTAACAATTTTTTGAGAAGTTTCCATGTGAACATAAAGAAATAATTTTTTACCCAACGCGAGTCAGATAGTTCATAGGTTCTGTTTAAAATATATTTATATTAAATGCTCAAACTTGTAGAATATCTTTAAATATACTGGTCGGGGACCATCAACAGGACACTTGTTGAACATCTTTCCTTACAGATTTAATAATTTGAAGCTACGGATCTGAAAATTTGACACAGTATAGCTAGGTTCTTCTCCTAACTAACAAACTAGTTTGTTTTGTTCTGATTATGTTGACATTTATGTTTAAGACCCGTCAATGAGGGTATCTAAATTACGTAAATTGAACATAGTACTGTGAGTACCATGTGTCCGGACTGATATGTATTGACAATGATTTAATTAAGATAAAAGCTTGAGTGTTTTAATTTTAAATTTTTAACACGATGTACAATATATCAGCAGCAAATGTTGAAGTTTTGGGTGTTCTATTGTTTACACTGTAAATGATTAAAGCTGGTAAAAGAGGTCAGGCATTGCGCTCTTGACGTCTAAATTTCCAACGTCAATGTTCTTGAAATAGACATTAAAATATTACCTTTTACAAAAGTTGAAATAAACTTCATTACTTAATGATAGAAGAAACCTGTATTTATTGTTGATACCAAAGTGACTGATAAATCGTCAACAACTGAACAAAGAAAACAACTAAATCAGGCATTTATGGGGCCGTCTCGATTTGGTGGTTGTCCGGTTTTGGTGGTCCCCTGGGACCTGACCCCAACCAGTAAAGAGTGTTCGTTAATCTGGTCTCAACCCGGTACGGAATTAGACCCAACCCGTTGTAGTCTAGAAAGTAGTTTTTTAAAATTTTGAAATGGCCCAATTTAAGTCATCTCTAGTTAGATTGGTCATAATTAAAGTGTATTTATTGCATGTGTGTAGTTTTTGTGTGTTATATGATGACTTTAAAAGTTGTGTTTTGTGTATTCTCCAGGAACTCATTTGTTGGCGGAAGGATTAAAGATGTACTACCCACCAGCTGTCAGGAGTTTTTATTTGTTTGGGTCGTCAGACCAAACAAATAATGGTAGCGAAATTTCAGAGTCTAATGTTCTTAATTGCAAACGCCGAAAGTAGTCCACTTTTTTGAAGCGGTTACTTCCCTTTTGTATGTACACTAAAGCCGAAAAATTCAGGGGAGATCACTGCGTAAAGATGGTCAAAGACAGGCGCATCAATTTTCAAGCAAAGTAATTCCCGAATGGTCGAAGATTTCTAGTATTGTTTTCTGGTATTTTCTGATCGAAAATAACTAAATACAAAGCGGACATTCAATCTCTGACACAGAAGTTTATGACAAACCTAACAACAAGTAGTTCTCAAAACAGCTTAAAACTAGCGATTTAAAAGAAAGAAATATTTTATTATGTTACAAGTATCCAACAAATTACAACGCATTTAAAGTTAAACAATAGCGTTGGCTTATAGAATTGTCAATAAATGCACAATCACAAATTACGCGGATGAATATGATTTTATCAATGAAAATACTATTTTTAGCCATGTAGATTACCGAATACTACACAAACCGAGTAGTGGAATATATAGATTCTACATGTCGGACTGTTTGGGCGAGAGGATTTTCGCTAAAATATTTACTTCAATTTTAAGCAACAGGTTTACCCTGAACAAAATACCTCGAAATTAATAAGGATTACCAGGTACGTATATTAACGTACCTGGGATTACAAACCTGAATGCAATGGAAGTTCTAAATTTAGAATGACTTGATATTATTCAGACGTTCTGTGTATAACTTCTCCGTGGTACAGTGGTAACGCGCTCGCTTAGTGAGTGAGAGGTCTCGAGTTCGAATCCCAGTCGAGGAAATTTTTTTTTGTTAAATTCTTTTTTTAATTGTTTTTGTTAAGGAAGTAGCCATGATTTACAAGGATAAAGTGTGGCTGTCGTAAAAAAAGTACATAAATGATTTTTTGATGCAACTCTAGTTATGCAGAATTCCGTATGTGCCTTACAAAATGAATTATAATACATAAAAATAAACTTATACAGGAAAATGCATACAGATATACAGTACGATTTAGATTGCAAAGATCAGAAAATACCAAAGAACTTGAAGCCCTTTGATTCTTTATAAATATACATGCTTATAGTAAGCTTCAGGATTATTTACATCTGTGTTAAACAACAGTTTAAAGTCGTTACAAGCCCTAATTTAGAATAATATGGTTTTCTTCAGGCCGTTCACATATAAATTTAACCGTGGCTGAAGGGTTTTCGGGCTCGCTTAGGAAGCGAGAGGTCTGGAGTTCAAATCCCAGTAAAGGTAACTCATTTTTTTAAATTGTTAAAGTCAAATAAACATTGGATTGAATATCAGTGTTGCAATTAGTCTTATAGCCAATTTACTACAATTAAAACGCTGGAAAGCATTGGTGGCACTAAACATATAATCTCACAACCTGCACCTTTCTTACATTCTGAGACCCAAACAAATTCAGCGCCTTCTGTGCTTTGATTAAAGAGTGTGACTAAAAAAGGATTGGAGCACCACACTAAATTACCACATTCCGGTATATACTGGACAAGGCGCTTGAATGATAAAATGCTAAAATCTTGCTTTTTCACCCAATGGAATGAACTTTACAACATCTAATTCATCTTTTTACACCGATTTATGTCAGATAATGATTGAAAAATGTAAAAATCGGCTGAAAAAATGATATTTGTCTATTTTGTGATCATGATTTCTGCGTCTACAGGTACTGCTCCAATCCTGTATTGAGTTAAATCCGTTTTTAAAGTGGTGAATTTAAACAGTGTATTCTAACAACAGAATGAAGATTTCTGAAAAAGTAGATGGCTCACCTATTATATTTTGGGCCTCATTGGACTTAGATAGTGTTAAACTAATGTTTGAAGTTGAAGACAGTATATAATTCATCGAAAACAGTGGAATCCAGAATTAAGCCTCAAATTTGACTGAGTCCTAAAACCCTGGACCTAATTTCTCAAAGAATAAAACAAGTTGGGAATATAATTCAGCTAAAAATAAAAAACAAGTCGCGAAAACTAATTAAATTGTCGTTTCATAATTACTTCAAAACTTTTGCAAAGCTTTTAGATCATCTTCACTTACCAGCTTCATATATAAAGCGCACTACACGGAAATGAACCTTTCCCTCGCTTTCATTCATGACTTATTCTGTTTTGAAGTTTAGTTTTTTAAGTAATATTGAAAATTTGTGAAGAGTTTGTTCCCTTTAACTATTGACAGTAAAAACAGTCTTTCCCGTACCAAGAAAGGATGCAGAGTACTAAATACGACTTAAAAAAATTTAAGGAACAAGCGAGGTTTTACGCATGCGTAAAATGGCTGCGAAGGAATGGACAACATAAAATACTACCTTTACGAATGTCTGTATAGATCCGCGCAGTTGCGGAAATTGAAATTAAAGGGGAAGCGACACGACATGAAAATTCCAGTTCTGCAGGACGGGTACGCTTCCTGTATAGTTAATGCCAAACAATAATTGTGCCAGGAATATAATAACATTACGTATTTTATTTTTTATATATATGTAGATAAGGTAAATTTACTGCCTATCTGTATACTCATCCTATATTTACACACACAGTTGTAATCACTGTAGTGAACAACTAACTGTACATTCTCATTCATATATGCATAATCACATGACATCATTTTCATTCATCATTATAGAATTATGGGAAATGTCTTGTTCTTGTTGTGAGTTACTATGCTCAGTGAACTGTCTCTTGTTATGCCCTTGTTATGTCCTGTGTTGTTAAGTAATGTCCAATAAATATCTTGTATATTTATAGAGAGTGATTTCATATCATTTTATGCATGGGCAATTTACATTCCTTTTCTAAGAAATCATTTTCAAACTTTGCATTGTAAAGTTAACTTCAGTAGTTCTTCATAGAACATTTTGAGTATTGTATTTATATAAATCAACTTTACGTTTGTTATTTATAGAACAGAATGGCTATTATTTTATATAATAGAGGTCAGCCAGTTGCACCTGGTAAGATATGTTTTACTTTAAATTACTTAAAAGAAATGTATTGAAATGGATGAATTAAATGGTTGGAATTATTTGAAATGTGAAATGTTGAAATGATATTGATATTGAATTTGTACTTTAATTTGTGTTTTGTATTTCATGTATTTATAATTGTTTATTCATTTTATAGGTTTCATTTTCACATCATCAAAATAAATAGAAATTGAACACCCAGTTAGAGTTGGTCATGTATTCTACCCAAACCATACTCTACATATAGACACTGCGGACACGTTCGTAATGGTTTATTGCAATACATTGGACATAAATTATATCCAGATTAAACGAGTTTTACCATTTCTCGACAATAAATCGCACAGAACGTCAATGTTTTCTCTACCACTCTTTCACTATATAATTAATGAAATGGGACCTTCACACCATAACGTCATGGTCAGCGTTCTATGACGTTTTAGAAAACGTTGGTAGTCGCCAATGGTTGCTGGGAGAGCGCCAGAAGAGCACTAGTGAACGCCGGTAATCGGCGTTGAACGCTGGTCCGAAAAAAAGTTTTTAACATGCACAAAAGTTCTCATTGTGACCAGCGTTCTTCAACGTTTAATTTTAAACACAGAAGATCGTCTAACGTTCTCCGAGCGTTGCACGCGGTACGCTATCGTTAGAAAATCGTTAATCTAGCGTTGGTTGTTACAAATCGTTTGCGTGTGTTCAGTGGAACGACTACACTGCAATGGGCGACTTTTCAGCTAACGAACTCTGAGGACGGTCTGAAATACACTTCTGGGAAACTAAACACTCGACCGTCCAGTCAAGGATCCCGCAATTCTTACTCTGCGTCTTCCCTCTCTTTGCTAAGGACAGACCGTCCACATTGGGGATTTCGGGATGTTTAGAGTACTAGTGTTCAGGGGGTGTCACAGGGTGCGTTATTTCCCAGATGTGCTGTTCCTTCCGGTGTTCTTCTTCGTCCAAAGACATTATTGCTAGTGAAACACTATGAGATTTCAAGCGTTACGTAAAATTAATACACACCAGCAAGACGCTATTCTGCCGTTATTCACATGTTTGTCAGACGCTCAACACGCTCGATTAAAGTTGGCAAATCGTTCGTTGCGCGCCAGTCGCACGTTAGCACACGCTAATGGTTTTCAGGGGTATCCTATTCGGTCGCTGTTACACGCTTCTCGTGCTTTATATACATGTACACGCTAGTCATGCATTAAAAACACATTAAATCACACGCCACATCTTTCTTCCAGAACGCTCGAAAATCAAACGTTTGAAATGTTCAGAGAAATGTTCATGGTGTGACGACCCCATTACGGGAAAAGGAAACCCATGCACATATTTCATATTTAATGCGGGATTAAAATTACGGATATATTATAAAAGCTAAGTTTACACAATTTTATCTACAATGCAACTTTTATCTCTGTTTCAGCTTGATTCTTGCGGAATACAGTATTTAGTGTGGTGCTCCAGCACGTTCTAGTATCACTCGTGTAAGTTTTCCACCGTGGATGAACTACAATTGGAGGAAAATCCAACCAGAAAAAGCGTTCGTGTTAAATAAGGTTAGGTTTTAATTTTGTATCTCTTTTTCGACAAATCGGGCATACATGTATTTTAATTAGTGGCAACGGCAGTGCGTTTTTATAAATAAGTCATACCTGTGAAAAATGATTAGTCGAGTTCTTCAAAATATTCACCATGGACCCTACACACTGTTCAAACCTCAGAATCCTCGGGCTGAAAAAATAAGCCGTGTTTCATTCCCTGTGACAATTTATCTCAGGCGTCTTGATCTTTGATCCTAGTAAATAAGGGCGGGGCTTTTTCAACCCGCCCTCTTTCTGGTTGCGGTAACAGGCACATACTTTCCTTAACTTAAACTTTTCTTTCAAGATGGAAAACACATATGACACACTAAGGCCCGATATGACACTTATCTCCTCCACGGTAAATCTTGCATTTTCATCAACTATGGCTTTGACAGTGCTGATGTCTTTTTCAGAGATAGCGGAAATTGGCCGCCTAGGGCGGGGATCATCCTTTACATTAGTTGTCCCTTCTTTAAACATTGAAACCCCCCTGTCACTTGTATGATATTGAAGGGAATGTTCTCCGTGAACTAAATTTAGTTCCGTTTTTATTTCTTGCGCGCATTTACCCAATAACCCAAGAATTTTGCAATAAGCTGTTTGCTCCTCTCTCAAATTCCAGTGCAACTCAGCCATGTTTACAACTAGTATACAAAACCAGAAGTATTTATATGATCTGCTGAAATTTTATTGCACGTGCAAATTGTGGAAAAACAGAGTGTTGGTTAGAAAAATCTATAATATTTACAGTGTTATATTTTACATGTATTTCACGTACAAATAAATCATGGTTAAACTAATCAAAAATATGCTCGTATCTTTTAGAGTAATTATTGAACATTTCACTGTTTTACCTGGGGAAAATATAACCATTGGTCTTAAACTTTTTTCCATCCCTCCATTTTTTTCTTACGACACTTCGAAATTTGTAAAGTTACCAGCCTAACAGCCCGGCAGCCTGGTAGCCTAGCAGTCTAGCACCCTAGCAGCGTAAAGAAAACTAAGGATAATACAAACATGAAAACCGTCGGAAATGAATCGGTAGCACATACTTTGACCATTCCACGTCTTATTTCAGTATCGCGATCTTTATTTTTATAAATATTGAACTTTGTTTGTTTGTTTTTTGTTTTTTTTTTTGGTTTTTTTTTTACACTTCAAAATTTGTGAAGACTTAGTTAGCAACCTAGCAGCCTGGCAGCCTAGAAGCCTAACTAAAACTAAGGATAATACAAACAGGAAAACCGTCGGAAATGAATCGGTAGCACATACTTAGACCATTCCACGTCTTATTTCAGTATCACGATCTTTATTTTTTTAAATATTGAACTTTTTTTTTATTTTAACACTTCGAAATTTGTGAAGTTAGCAGCCTAACAGCCTAAAGAAAACTTTGTTGTTTTTTTTATTTTGTCGCTTAGATTTTGTTAACTCCACAAATTTCGAAGTCAAAATAAAAAGCTTCAAAATAAAAAAAGGTTTTCTTTAGGCTATTAGGCTGCTAACTTCACAAATTTCGAAGTGTCAAAATAAAAAGAAAAAGTTCAATATTTTAAAAAAATAAAGATCGCGATACTGAAATAAGACGTGGAATGGTCTAAGCATATGCTACCGATTCATTTCCGACGGTTTTCATGTTTGTACTATCCTGCTAGGCTGCTGACTTCACAAATTTCACACAAAAAAAACTATGTTAAGATGAAGTTCAACATCTTAAAACATAAAGATCACGATATTGAAAAAAGGCGTGGAATGGTCTAAAGAAGTGCTACTAATGTATTTCCGACTGTTTTCATGTTTGTACTATTCTTAGTTTTCTTTAGGCTGTTAGGCTGCTAGGCTGCCAACTTCAGGTTGCTAGCCTGCTAGGCTGCCAACTTCACGAACATCTTACTTGATCATATATATCAACGCTAGGGCTGCAAAACTTTAATGGGCAATGTTTAAATCATCCCGTTATTTTAAATTGAGAGCTATAGTAACTTATCACTCCTCTAAAATCAGATTATTTTCCTTTATTTCATACACAGTGCATTGCATTTTCGAGAGTAATAACAGTTCTATTTGTATTTGAGAAGAATTGCTTTAATCATTTTCAATAAATACACGAGACTTTGAAAACCTATAAAATTGGTCAGGAATTCTTTAATAAACAGGACTTTACAAATGCTTACTACAGGACATGATTTGTGACCTACTTTTAAGTTAAAACAAAAGCTTGTACATGTATCACTTGTACTTATTCTGATATTGTTTGTATGTATGACATTTCTTCTTCATTATCAGTCTTTGTAAAGAATCAATATCAATATCTATTACATATGTGTCAAACATACTGTGGACTGTAAACTGGAAAAATTATTAAACATAATGTTATGAAATTATATTGTTGTTTTCAATCTTTAATCCTTAAACGCAAATTGGGTCTCGTATTAAGTCAAACATATTTCTGTTCTCTACATCAGTCATTCAATAACTTTAGCTAATGACCGGGAAAGCAGCCCTACGTCAATATTGCATTATGTAATACATCCATAATTGTCAAACAATTATTATTTAAATTTAATATTATATCATATGAATAATGCTTTTCATGTTTTGTTGATTAACATGAACATTTGAAATACCCCTTTGTAACTTACAGGTTTATTGGGTCGGGTGTTTATATTATGCCATTTATGTTATTATTTTGTCAATATAATTAAATAATTACATGCTTACTGTTTCAGCTTTGTTTCTGTTTCTATGAATTTTGTTTTTTTAAGAAATAAATAAAACTAATAAAAACTCCGTCAAACATTTAAGAACGTCAGTATAAAAGGATACAATAATGTGGGTCTAACATATAAACTGATGCTATTATATAAAAGTCCAAAGATGAAATACAGCATATTAGTTTTAATCTCAATATTTACAATGAGGTATATCACATATCACAAGAGAAACATATATTACACTGTTCACCAACATATATATACATGTATACATCTTGAATTATCCAAGATAAATTACATGTTATCAACTTATCATAGAACAACTTCTGATCAAGCAAATTATGTTCCTTCAAAACCAAATAATTTAAGCTTCCTTTACCTCGGAAAAAAATGTGTGTACATATTGATTGTACAGTTTGCTTTTTGTTGAATATATTTGTAGCATTACTCTTGAAGATTTACCTTTTTTATTTGTATTTAAGTCATTCCAACTGTGAAATGAACATTTAGCATCTCTTGTAGTTGTCTTCTACAGACAAAAGTCTTGCCTACCTGGTCTAAAAGACTGCATGTACAAAATTTCAAGTTAACATTTTTTAATAGTTCAAAAGTAACAACAATCTTTTATAAAAAAATATTCCATTTATCTAATCAGTTGCAAATTCAATAAAACATTTGTATCTGCAACAAATAAATTTGACAGTCATAGTCAACTCCTATATGTACATAACGCTAACATCATATTCATCTACAATTATTTCAGATTCGTCATATTGCGCCAGGTACTTTTTAGTCGAAATCTCGTCTGAGACAATTTCTTTTGTATGTTATGGTTTTTTGTTGCTTTTCACCCTTTTTATTCCTCAAATACCATGACTCTCCTTAAAAAAGTGGCTGTTTCAAATACTTCAACATCCATATAATTGTCACTAAATTTCCAGCACCTTGTACATGTAGTTACTTTTACATTCAAACTATAATCAGATCTCGACTTAAAAGTCACTTTAGATAAATAAGCTGACAAACAACCATATGTGTGTAAAACTGTAGGGACGTAGACGCTGGGGATTTTTTTTAAGATTGCGTCAGATATTGCAAACCCAGCTGACCAACTGTATTTTCCTACAGTCTCAATCCGTAATTTCTATGTGTGGACCTTGGGTATGGAACCTCGCCTCTACAAGTATGTCTTTCAACAGTCTTTGTGCAGTTTTGACATATGACGTCACAACACCAGTGAAATTTACATTCACATTGGTCCACGCGCTGTACAACTTCAGTGTCAAAACCTCGACCACAACACATGATGTCACATCCGTCTGTATCCATAGACGTTTTATTACACTCTCGTCCGCTAGTTCCAAAGGACCCTGTTAAAGGAGGAAAAGAATATCTAGAGTAGAGGCTTTTCAAAGTGGTTTTACATAACCTGTTGGAGTCAGTGAGTAATATACACTCAAACTTTTAAGTAAGATTTAGTAATGAAAGTTACGAAGACTTTTAACAGCAATACCTTTCTATTTTTCTTAGTTTCCAGACACATTTGACCTTTTTCAATCTATCACTACATTTGTTATATTCGAACATTAATTTGTTTTTATTGAGAAACAACATGTTACAAACAAGGAAGACGAAGACACTGTAGGCATTTAATCCTCATGCAGTTCTGCTAAATGATACATAATACAAAACATGAAAGGTAATGAATTTCAAAAAGACATTTTAGTTCTGTTTTTATATTGACTTACACCATATCAATAGGAAAATTAATGAGAATACGATGATAAATCATTCATTTTCACGCATACATTGCCCATTGATACACAAAAAAGAATATAAAAGAAAATTCAAGAACAATTCATTTCTAACGCATTAATTGCTCTTGCAATCTAGACGTACATAACACCAAGAAAACTCTAAGCAAAATTTATGTTATACCTAGCCCTAAATCTTTTGTACAGTAGTCTGGTGACTCGTCAAAATATACTAAATCAAATTTTGTCGGTTTCTTCAAGTTTTTATTGGCAACTATCAGCTCGCTGTCTGCGGCATTTTGGTTCATCATCACCTATAATTATTTAAACATGATAATTCAAATTTCTGACTGTGCATTACCAGCAGTTTACAGCAAAGCTTTGAATATTGTGCAAATCTTTTTATCAAAGTGGTAAGAATATCTAATCTTAAAAAAAATATTTTTGATTAGTTCAAAAAAATGCAAGGCAGCTTATATTCAACGCCATATCACTCAAATTGTAAAAGGAATGAAAAAGAAAATCAATTTCCTTCTCATCAGCAATATGCAAGTTTTCTTGCAACAGACTCAATATAAAATGTGATTTGAACACAATTGTAATATATGTATAAGTCCTTGAATGTTATTTTTATTGTAGTTTGTTTTATTTCAGACAAGTAAAGTTGATATTTCTTTGTGCATAATTTGATTTTGTCGTCAACTAGGATTACATGAAACAGATCATAGTATAAATTACTTTACCAGATATGTTAAATACTTACCTTAACGGCTCCATTATATCGTTTCTTCAGGAAGGTACCTACACGTCTAAAATCTCTCATTGCACGCCAGCATGTTTTCATTGCGCATGACCCACTAATTCCGTGACATTTACATTCTAGTTTCCGCATCTTTTTTACAGTCTGAAAATAAAAATTTTAAAAAATCATGCTTTGTCTTTCTTATAAATAAAAACGCCCCGGGGATCTATGTCTTTTGTTTCTCAGTTAAAATAACGCGACTTGTTCACAATTCTATGATATTTTTTCAATCTATCTTCGTTTTTCACGACTCGTTTACAGTTAACCAAAGACATTTTTATGGTCTCTTCAATGTTCACAACTCATTTTACAGTATTGCGATATTTTTCCAAGGTCTCTTCAATATTCATAAACAATTTACTGTTCCCTTGATATTTTTCCCAAGGTTTCTTTAGTGTTCATAACTCGTTCATACGATATTTTTCAGGGTATCTTCAATGTTCATAACGTCACACTGATTATACGTATGAATATTGCTTGTTGCGTAAGTAAGTAGTGCATTCAGTTTTTTTTGTTTTTTTTTTAAATATATTTCATAACCACTTTTTAAAGAAAATGGTCATTCCAATTATTTCTTGAACTTTGGTCATTTGTTACAAAGTAACAAGCAACCGATCAATTTTGTGTAGTAACGAGCATTGCTCGAGGAAAGAATACATTGTGATCTATAGGTATATATACTGAATTTTGGCCACTCAGTTTTGTTATTTGTTTGGTTTATACAGAATTTATTTTAGTTCGATTGTGTAGGAAGGTATAAGCTTATCGACACACTTTCGAATCCGTTCCTGTACTAAACCAGTACTGAGCAATGAGTGTAAAGTTTCTTGCTGAAGGAAACATCGACTTGCCTCTGACGGGGTTTGAACCCACACGACTAGAGATCCTTAGATTACTAGTCATTGTTTGAACATTATGTCTAAATAATTGATAATAAACGTTGGACACTTATTTCTTTATTTGAAAGTTAAACACTTTACTTAGTATGATATAGATCTAATTCAATTTTTCCAGTATTCATCATCTTGAAAAACACACGGAAAATTAAAGAAACAATAAGGAATCATATTTTCAAGCTTCATATATACATGTAAATGAATCATCATCGCTATAGTATTTTCACTTTAATTAGAATACAAAAAGTAGTACGGAGGATATTCACTTTAATTAAAGAATACAAAAAGTAGTGCGGAGAATATGATTAGAGTCTAATTACAGTTACTTGCAGCGATCCATTAATTTTCTTTGACAGCATGGAAATGACATGACAGTAAATGTTTTAGTCCATAAAAAGTATTAATGGTTTTGGTATTGATACACGAATATACAAATTATACAAGTCTATATCTGATAATTCGGTTTTGTTTCCTGTCTTGCTTTATTTATTTATTTTTTATTTTTTTTTGTTTCTGCTTATAAATTAAAATTTCTTAAAAATTCATGATCTACTCTTTTCAGTAATCAACTATCAATTATGTTGCCACATAAAAACCATTTTATTTGTTTTTCCCATTGGCAGTTTTCGTGTTTACTTGTAGTTTTTGTTCCTTTGTTTTCTATAAAGTTCAATACAATCCAAGAATCGATTTTATAACCACGTTTTGCATGTGTATGAGTTTATTTGTGATGGCCCGGTGTAATGAATTATTTATACTGGTACACTGGTATTATTCCAAACAACAGTATTACAGCGAATAGCATGTCCTTTTAATATAATATATTTTAGATCACTTCCGATGATAAATGTTGTCTTTGTAATGGATAAAGAAATAACCATTGATCTTTTTCGGTATGTTGTCACATTTATTTCAATGAGAACAAGAGCCATGTTAGCATGGCCATCTCCCGCCGAATGTGTTTGCTCATTGGAAGAATGTATATGAAGTAAAGCAGAATAATTCAATTTAAAGTTGTCTTTTGGTAATGAAAACGGATGGCTGAAGTGATTACAGATTTGAAACCTATGTGAATACTGATAGCTGAAAATAAGAAAGGGCAATAACTGAAAAATAATGCAGGATAGGTTATCATTTTTGTGTGCTGCACTCCTCCTCAATGAAATCTATCCACCTATGGACTTTCAAGTTGATACCTCAAATACTTTTTGAGATATGCTCTGGACAAAAATGTCGGACGGAAGGACTGACGGACAGACGGACGGACGGACGAAGACTATTTCTATATCCTTTCGGCGGGGGATAAAAAAACCATAGCGAATTGTATTATTATGATTATTGTATAATACATGTTTTTAATTTATTTTACCTGGCGACCCGCTCTGTTGTTGTGAAGATTCATCAATGCACGTGCGTCCATATTTTTCCTCTCCTTAGCGTCAATAAACGTGCGAGCAAATTTTCTACCATAGTTGACATCATCGCTACAACCTCCCCACTCGAACCACTGACCTTTTTTGTCTCGACTTTTCCCTTTCTTACCGGGATCACAAGCGCACGTGCTTAAATGACCTAGACTACACGCACGTGTAATGGAATATACAACACCAGCAGATGATATGGAATAAACAAATGCTGCCTCTCGTGTCCCGACTGAAAAGAAGAATTGAAATAAAACTTATAAATGAAATAAATAGCACTAATATTCCCTTAAAAGGCACATTATGCTTCAAAAATCCATGTTTTAATTGTTTAGAAAAAATGTATTTAATAATGTTTTAATAATGAAATTTAGAGCATGTAAGATGTTTTACAAGTGAAGAAAGTAGTGCTGGGCGTAAAGTTGTCATAAAGCTAGCAAAATGTGAACAAAATAGTATTTTAACTTCCATTATGCAAAATACTATTTCCTTGTAATTATATCAATTGTCAACAGAGCAAAGAAAGCAAAGGATAATTCATCCATGTGAAAAATGAGTATTTCTTTTTAAGCTTTAACAAGATACCAAAATAAATGAGAATTTTTTGAGAAATGAAAATAATAGCATATCTGAGGCATAATGGATTTTTAAACTCAAAGTTTGATATTAATTAGGATTATCATTGTTTTGAACTTTCAGACATTTTATCATGCTTTATACGGTTAGTTTTAATCTTGATGATATTAACATTTTTAAAATTTTGTTTATGAAACAACGTTGTTTTTTTTTGTCTACACGTGTATCGAGTACACAAAAGCCAATATAAAATGCTCCGACAAACGCAAACATTTAGTCATTTTGGTCATATTTACATGTAGTATATCAACATTTGTATAAGCTAGGTTATCATGCCTTTAACTTTAAATTATATGGAAGAATAGTTATTCCCTGAAAAGAATTATAAAAAATTAAAAACAATTTATTCCGATACGGTCATCTTCGTTTAAAGTAAAAAGGTCCATTACTACACAACGGTTAGTTATGAGAAAACTTGCAACCAGAAAATTTACAAGACAAAAGGTGAGCACTAAAGTTGCCTAAAGTGAACACATTATGTTTAATTAATAACTTTCAACATAGTTATCATTGCAAACCAGAAACCTTACAAGACAAAAAGTGAGCACTAAAGTTGCCTAAAGTGAACACATTATGTTTAATTAATAACTTTCGACATAGTTATCATTGCAAACCAGAAACCTTACAAGACAAAAAGTGAGCACTAAAGTTGCCTAAAGTGAACACATTATGTTTAATTAATAACTTTCAACATAGTTATCATTGCAAACCAGAAACCTTACAAGACAAAAAGTGAGCACTAAAGTTGCCTAAAGTGAACACATTATGTTTAATTAATAACTTTCAACATAGTTATCATTGCAAACCAGAAACCTTACAAGACAAAAAGTGAGCACTAAAGTTGCCTAAAGTGAACACATTATGTTTAATTAATAACTTTCAACATAGTTATCATTGCAAACCAGAAACCTTACAAGACAAAAAGTGAGCACTAAAGTTGCCTAAAGTGAACACATTATGTTTAATTAATAACTTTCAACATAGTTATCATTGCAAACCAGAAACCTTACAAGACAAAAAGTGAGCACTAAAGTTGCCTAAAGTGAACACATTATGTTTAATTAATAACTTTCAACACAGTAATCATTGAATACATCGTAGAGACATTTGGTATGATACAGCACGTTAAGTAATAATGGTTCAAAATATTACCCCGACATACTCTATGGTGAGTTCAAAAACTTAATTTTTGTTCCCATATTTTTGTAATAAAGAAATGTGCCAACATAGCCTTACGGACTATTAACACTTTAATAAACATCAAATAACATACAAAGTTTAGTATATAGTTTTACTTAAAAAGTTATTTTCTGCTATCTTGGCAATCAGACCATTGACTTGTCGCTTAAAGCAACTATTCCATTTCCAAGGTTCTTTTGCCATCATAAACATTAATAAAAAAATATTGTTACTACAATATCTAATAAGGGATCGTGACAATTGTCATAAAAAGCAGACGAGCAAAGGGAAATCTATTTTATCATAATGGTACTCCCTTATTTACCTTTTAAAAGTATTTTTCCAAACACTGAAGCGTCCCTTTCCAATGTGCTGCAATTCCATCTATGTTTTCGAAATTGGTGTTGGCACTCGTGTACCCCTTCTAGCGCCCCCTGTCCGAGGGGAACCATTGCGTCCTGGTGCAAACGACACATTCGTCTTTGTTTTCCAATTAACCCGGGAATGTTATCACAGATAATGCCAGAACTTACCGCTTGAAGCGGCAACTGACTTATGAACCTGAAATAATAAGACTTTTTGTTTAAATATTATTTACGAATGTGGATTTTTTTGGTGTCCGCGCCTAAGCGCGACGCCCCTTATGGAATGAAAAAGGGCAAGTGCAATTTCTCGGGCCTTTTAGTCGGTCATAATAGCCGATCATTCCGATTGCTTTGAGGGTGTTTGATTATTAAAAATGAAATGTCGCAATATGTACAATGAATAGTGAACTGGACAATTCCGCAATGCAAATATATTCAAATGAAATAATCTTTTCCGTCATTTAATCGCGCTCTTCGGGGTTTTTTATTAATCATTTTGTAGTACACAGTGGGTTATTATGTATGTTATTGTTGTACATGTATCCGAAAGCTATAAATAGAATGATGACCTTATCATTGTGAAAGTCCGAAAATCTATTTATAGAAGCAGATTTAGTTTAACGAAACGGTAATTCGTGTCGCGCACAATTTATGGTAATAAATAACAAACTGGAGAATTTTGAAGGAAATGAAATGGAAACATATTCAAACAATTAATTGCATTCGTTATAAATCTATAGAAAAAAATTAAGTATGCCATTTTTTACGAATTGTTATATCATAGTATTATCATTTTGTAAAATTCTTTTCCGTAGGTTCTTTCCGGTTTTCTTTTTTACGGCTCTGATTGCACTTATGACATTTTTACTGTCGACCAAGTTCACAACTTTATATGTCGCTTTTATTTTGACGTTATGCGACAGTTAACAGGTCTAGCAGTAGTATACTATAAAAACCTATGTTCAAGTCTCTTTTTCTAAAATCGATCCTAATTTCTCTATTGATTTTGAGTACTATTTTGTATGTTCCAAAGAAAAATACCATATGAACTTGAAATTCTATCAAATCACCAATATTAATGATAATAACCAAAAATACCCCTATGCAGTATAAATAAACTTATACCATATGGAGAGTATATTTTGGATATCTTATCATTGACCTGTATATTTTGAATATTATCGTTAATATTGATAAAATTTTAAGTTCCTGTGGGAAAAAAGTAATATTTTAATCTCTAGCATGCCTACCAAAGTTCATAATGAACAATGTCTTTTGTCCAACCATTCATAAATGATATATAATTTTGGTAAAAACCAATTAACCATTGAAAAGTTTATAAGAATATCTTTTCTTGCATATCAGACTGGCGTTTCCGTTAGTTTTACCCATGCCGGAAATTTCATCTGGCATGGGGGGTTCCAGATGAGTCGCGTGCTGTACAATGGCACGATAAAGATGACGTCATTTTACCGTTATGAATGATTTGTAATTCATACGCTGTTGAATGAAAGTAGTTACGGTTGTAATGATATAAATTTTCATTGAAAATAAAGATAAAGAATTTAAAATATAATGGAATATGGTAGAATATGCAAGAAAAAATATCTGACATATGTTTGCGGTTCGGATCGGAATATCCGTCCCTCGGTCACCCGCCCATGGGCGGTAACTCGGCAAGCCTCGTTACCGCCCAATGGGCGGGTCACCTCGGGACGGATATTCCGATCCGAACCGCAAAATATGACAGATATTATTATTCTTGCATATCAGACTGGCGTTTCCGTTAGTTTTACCCATGCCGGAAATTTCATCTGGCATGGGGGGTTCCAGATGAGTCGCGTGCTGTACAATGGCACGATAAAGATGACGTCATTTTACCGTTATGAATGATTTTGTAATTCATACGCTGTTGAATGAAAGTAGTTACGGTTGTAATGATATAAATTTTCATTGAAAATAAAGATAAAGAATTTAAAATATAATGGAATATGGTAGAATATGCAAGAAAAAATATCTGACATATGTTTGCGGTTCGGATCGGAATATCCGTCCCTCGGTCACCCGCCCATGGGCGGTAACTCGGCAAGCCTCGTTACCGCCCAATGGGCGGGTCACCTCGGGACGGATATTCCGATCCGAACCGCAAAATATGACAGATATTATTAGTTATCATATGTCTACTAGTTCATCTTCACTTGCTGCATTTCCTGCTTGGACGCCCTTTTGATGCTTTGCATCAATGCTTTTCTTGTATTCATCTTTATAATAAAATTACAATAACTTTTCCTGTAAATTTCAACCGTCTGATGATACGAAAAACGTGTCTGCGCTAAAGAACAAATGTTTCATACAATGGTCTGGAGCCGCTTCGTTTAACATCAATTCTATTATGAATTGTTTATAGAAATGAATATCTGTTCTGAATTAAGTGCAAAAAGGTCAAAGCCAATATTTCTTGTAGGTCGAGGTGTGTGATATCAAGTGGGCAGAAAAGATTCAAACAATAAAATAATGATTTAATAATGTACTAATCTCAGTAATGGAAAATGTGCACAATTTATCGTCTGCCATCAAAAGAATAATTCAAGAGACTGGAGATTAGAGCAAATAAAACCCCACAAATCTGCTTTTAATATTATTACATGGATCATGAGCGTTCCAAGAACGTAGGAAATAAACATCGTCTGCTTAAATTATGATTTAATCTCGTGTGATATCGTAAATCTAATTATATCATACAAATATGACGTCATCGGTTCCATTCGGTGCACAATTGAGTACAGTCCAATCAGAAAATCATGTAATTGACGGTACTTTGATCTATTTTTAGAACATTAAATGGTCAAATTGAGGTATTTTAAATATCATATTTCCTAAAGTTGTGAAGATTAAAAACGAATATCGGCAGGTTGATTGCTTGAACTTTACATAACAATTCTGTAGCGCGTTTATATTGTTTACTAATTTTATAATAAACGTTGATTTATTTTTGAGCGTCATGAAAACAAAAAATGTCACTAATTTTATTCTTTTTATAGCATCATAGTTAAATACAAAATTACAAAAAAGCTATATTTTAACACTTCAGCGTTTGTGTTTATTCGTAGTATGTGATGTGTTGTTATACCTTTACTGAATACTGTTGATTTCTTTTTATCCATTTCCTTATGGACCAAATAAGACTGTTTACTGTTGTATTAACACAATCAGACAGCTATTCTTATACTTGTAGCTGTTCTGATCACAAAGTTAGGCAGATAATAGTTATGTACCAATTCTAATTACAAAGTTAGGAAGCTTATCTGCTGACAAAGTTAGGAAGATTTGTGCCGCATTGTAATTAGGAACCATTTAATTCCGTCATTAGATTTGACAAAAAAAATTGTTTTAACTATCCAATAGTTTAAAAATGTTTTTTTCGTCCACGATATTGTTGCAGTTATTGAGCCTGGGATCATTTTATTTGAAATAAGAAATATAGGTGATATTTAATTTATTAAAATGATATTTGTATACTATGCGATTATGTGTTATCAATTCTTTATTTAGTCAACGTTTCATATTATGTTACGTCAGACAATTGTCAAATAATATCAATATTGAACAGATCATTTATTATATTATCAAGCAATAATCTTTGATGTATCCCTTAAACTGCGAATAAATTAAATCATTTTAATGTATTAAATAAATCACGTTGACGATAATTTAATGAGCAGAGTACCGTGAATTTGTGAACAGAATGCTTCATTTGAATAATCCAGCTGTAAGATAGAAAAATATCTAGTGCAATCTATTAGTATTCTTTGTGTTTTTGTGGGGTTTTTTGTGTTTTGTTTATTAATTTTTTTATTGTTGTTGTTGTGTTTTTTTTGCTGTTTTTTCACTTATTTGTTTTGAACTGATACTTGATATTTACCGAATTTTCTAAAACTTTTAATCTATAAGAAAGTATAAATAAAAATATATATATAATACATCTAAATTAATGTATGTTTATTCTTTTGAAGCAGATATGCTGAAGCGGTATACTTTTCCCTTTTCCATATAGAAAATACACATATTTTAAATTCATGTAAAACTCTTGAAAATTAAACTTTAATTATTACAAAAAGCTATGGATTTTTGCTTAGATTATTGAATTTCTGGTTATTTCCTCCGCCCAATATTGGTATTTCACATCTTTTCTACCATCTGTAATGCTACATCATCCATCATCATTTGTTGAAATAAATCAAAAACTATGTATACCAATTACTTCTCCATTAATCAACCTGCGAAACAAAATAGTTCTTAATTAAGTCGCATGCAAACGATACGTCACTACGATATTCCGATATACATCAGACGAAAGGGCGCAGTGATATCGATTTCAAAAACGCGCACTATTTTTCATGATATATTGTAAACTGTAATAAACACACCTGTCAATAGATTTAGTAATTTCTACCATATTTGTAATCAATTTACGAGAGAAAATGCTTTGTTGAAAGGGGGTATCATATGGAGTTTTTTCATTTCCTCAAGTAATAACAGACCTAATTTGGTACATTCTGATTACAGTTGTATAGACGCTGGATAGATTAAATGTAATTAGAGATGAAAGTCCAGTCATTCTTACTGAAGAAACTAATGAGAATTTCTGTAGAAGAAAATGCCCGCAAGTTTCTCTACTTAGGATAAAACATTCTTTTCTTATGATATTAACATGTAATAATAATAATAATAATAATAATAATAATAATAATAATAATAATAATAATGATAATAATAATAATAATAAATAATAATAATAATAATAATAATAATAAATAATAATGATAATAATGATAATGATGATGTTGATGATGATGGTGCATTTGAAATAATAATAAATGCTATAACTTTGTGGTCATAAAAAAATCATCATTTCATTACCAATCAACATCCTCCAGGAACGGATTCAAGAGTGTGTCTATAAGCTTATACCAAACGTAATTTACTTCTGTAGAAACTAACATCACCATAATAATAATCATCATTATAATAATTTCAAAAGATGTAATGGCATTCTATTAATGCAATTTTATCTCGGTGTCTTTAATAATTGCACTGAAGCTCGGGGGTACATGGACATCAGAAGATGTTCATTAATAAGCGAAATGATATATAATTAGCGCCATCCTTACAAAAACTTTGTAGGTAAACCATTAC